TACAACATTTTGCCATAATCACGAACAAGTCTCTGTCGACACGGTTTATCAAACACACGCCTACACGCCCGAATGTTTCTCTATCGCGCATCGCTTCGCGACATCTCACAGTTTGCTACGACAAACTCTATACTTAACATTCAATATAACAACAAGCATCCAAATAACATAGATTTTATGGATAGATTGTATTAACTACCTATTGCTCTTCAATTAGTTTATTAGGTGGCTGCTCTCCTTTGTTTCTTTTGATGGACTAGAGCGAGTTTGAGGGACTGATTCGGTGGTTACTTAGCTGTTTGTGAAGGATCCGTCCCTAAATCTGGTTAGAGATGAAAGGTGAGTTTGCTACTTGGTATGCTAATTGAAAGCAATAGTTGTTATCTACCCATTATATATATAATTATTGCATGTAAATACACATAACACAGTAGTTGTATATTAAATAATAACCTTATTAGTAAGAATATAATTACTTATTGGTTATTTATTGAATTTGGCCAAATAAAAATACACAATTAGAACTTTCAGCCATTCCACGTATAACAAGAAGAAAAAGCTTAAAAGTTAATAATAATAACACTTGAAGAGTTTATGGAAGATAATGCCAGAAAATATTGTAACTAACTTGGTAGATTTTATGAAAAAACGGTAAATTAAATTCACTAATTTTATCTGTATTTTTTAATATTTCAATAAAATATTACACGAGCTGCGGATTTTCTGCGATTGTTAAATGCGAACTACTAGTTAGCAACCTTTAAACAGACTTTACTATCACTCGCAGTTTTTTGTCGATTGTGACAGGCTGATTATGGATCCAATACCAAGTCTAATAACAAACAATTTTTAATAACTGAAGCAAGTATTTGATTGCTAGAGATTTTTTTTTATTATAATTAATTTTGGCCATTGTTATAATGCCTGACAACAATTTTGCAAGTTTATTATTTAATGCCATTGACATAAACTTTTTTATTTCTATAATTAATAATGACGCTACAATTTATTCTGCAAAAATTTCGTAATTTTTGCTGTAACATCCAATCGTGCATATCTTTACCGATTTAAACGATGTAAAATTGCAAATAATTATTTGTTTTATTTTGAACTGCTCGTTTATAGATACATTGCACTGATACTATTTTTAAATTGCTTTAGCGTTCCAAAATTTTTTTAAAAATTACCACTTTGAACAGTGATAGGACAGTAAATAAATTGCCAAGTATACAACAAACAATTAACCTAACCTAATTATATTAAAGCTCTTTGTTTCTGCATACAAGTTTATACTATTTTCCCCAAAATTATGGATATCCGGAAACAACTACCAGAAATTGAAAACTTGTGGGAGACAAATTTCTGGTTTCATACTAGCCGTCTCACAAAAACTTTTTTAAAATAACATGCCTAAAGTTTTAGATTAGCATTCTAACAGTCCTAACATAAATCCAACAAAATTCTCTGGGAGCATCATTAAAGAAATGTACACTCACCTACCAAAAGTATTCGTGAACAATTAGTCAAACATATGAAAAGCTCTTTTTCGAACATCTCTGTTAGCCAATTCGTACTATGTTAGTCACAACAATTTTTATACCAGTTTAAAGCTAGCTGATTATATTTTGAGAAAAAAAAGAAGCAATAATAGATTTAGTCCCATTTATTGTTTTAAGGCTACAGCTTATTAAACTAGGGTATTGATGTTACATATGTTACTTATATTAATATGCGTAATACACTTCATCGTACTACTCCTTCAAGACAGTAACTATTTTAAATTCTCACATTTTTTTTTTCAAAAAGCACAACCAATAGCTTCAGATCAATGCAAAAATTACGATAACTTACATAGTACGTATGGCCAACAGAGATGTTCGAAAAAAGGACTTTCATATGTTTTACTAATTGATCAACAAAATTACGAATACTTTTGATGGGTGAGTGTAGCAAAGAAAATACCGAATGATTCGCGCATTTTATGGTCAATGAGTGAGATGATATTTCATGATCAACCTAATTGGGTTTGTATGATCGATGTGAGCTTGTCATAGAAAATAACGGTAAATGCGCTTCATACAAAAATTTTAAATAAAAGCTGCTAGTCTTCAGCTTTAAATGATATAATTTATCTTACTTACATTATTGATTCTTTGAGTAATGTGTAATTTGTAATTACGAAAATTTGTCCCACACTGTATACAGTAAGTAAAACATGTGATGACTCGGGGATGATTTTAGCAGATTAATTTGTGGAAATGTTAAATGTAATTAATTATAAGATAAGGTAATCTTTTGGTATATCGTTAAATTCAGTAATTACACGATGCACAAGAAACGTTAAATCTAAAACTTTTATGACGTCTGCTTCATATTGTTACTAAAAATTTTAATTATTTAACAGCTCTATTCTCCTGTATATTTTTATTACAATTGTATTGCGTTAAAATTGAAAGACTAAAATTGCGTAATTTTTATTAATAGGCTAAAATCTAATTCGAAACTTAATATATGTTGGGCAATCATTATTGTTTTATTCTTTAAGTCATACTATCGATCAAATCCGAACATTTCTATGCAAATTCGCTGCCATTCTTGCTTTAAAAAGGTCTACGCTTCCCGTAAAATTTGTCGGGCACTTTTTTGCTTCCAGCTCCATACTGTTGTATAGTAATTTTAGCAGTTCCAATGAGAATAATGAGTAACTTATTAATATTTTGCATTGTGTGACTACTCTTACGAGGCCAATGATTTGTGGCGCTTTACTACTGTCGATTCACAATCTTTTTGTTAAAGAGAAAGGTCAAACTGACAAAATTTTGTTTTTTTTTTGTTTGTAACAGCAATAACAAACTCAAAAGAAGAGTATAATTACGTCAAATTATAACTTGTTTAGTAAAATTCTGAAATCAATGCCATAAAATTTTAGATTTAAAATCCGAGCTAAGATAATTAATATTACTATTACACAATTTTTTTTAATACTTTGCCGATTTAAACTTTAACGCAATACATTATAATAAAATATGCCGAAGAAGTAAGAACTTGTCAAGAGCATACAGTTATTAATTTGTCTAGTGAAATTCTGGAATAGACGTTGTGAAAATTTTGAGCGTATCTTTTGAAGTTGTCGAGATTACGATAAAAGGCTAGCAAACCACGAGTTAGAAATCGTTATACCAAGTCCAATTACAATAATTGTCATGTATATTATAGCTCAATATCTAAAAAGTAATACACTGTTTTGAGGACGTTAGTAAATCTATTAGTGTTAGTCTGACAAATCTGGTGGCCGGTGAATGAAAAAACGAATTTATTCTCCTGGGTTAATCCAAAACGACGATTTCTGGCCCGTTGAAAGTATAGATTGTCAAAGAAGAAATTAATAGTAAATTCCTGCGTTCCTACAATAAATAATAGATTCCATATACTGGTAGGCAATACAGTAAACTGAAATATAGAACAGTCATATCGGCACTTATTCCTCATTTAATAAACATTCCCCCATCATCCAACACACTGTTATCCAAAACCTTGTTTTTTCTAGAGATTCTGTTTTCGAGTAAGAAATAATAAGTACTTAGCACTCACAAAAATGGTATCAATTAATCCGACGTCTTAAAAGTCAGGCTAAATTAAACTCGTGCATTCTTCTCTGCACATTCTTTTCCATATGCCTGAATAATTTCATTGGGCATTTGCAAATGCAATCACAAATGAGGGTATGACTCGATACTGTTCCCAATGCGGGGAAATGCTTCGACCCCAAGTATACATCGCGTTATGGTTATCAGAGTTTAATATGCTTGAGGAATATAAAGGTTATACATGTAACCATTATGCAACATACCCTTGCGAGCAGTTCAGTTCTGCCTCCTGCACGCTTAACACATATGCCATGCCATAATAACTGATTGACCAATCTCAAATTTCCTATCGACTTACCAAATAAAGGACAATTACAAAGCCTTATTTGTGTTTCCAATCTCAGTTCCGCAATTTATGTTAAATTACACTCTCTGGTATATGTAATATGCACCATATGGCAGAGTATCTTACCACGGGATATCATGTAGTGTAAAAGTGGTTGGATGACAAACGCTGGATATTTGGTTGGAGTTCCTGCACATGAAAACTTTCTTTTTTTCGCAAATATACAGAATAACCATTACTATTTTGAACATACTATTAACTAATTATTCCGAAATGTCGTTACACCATATTGTGTCCAGTATAATGTTTTATCATCGTTGAGAGGATGGTTCTTATTTATTGTTCGATAAAATTGTTATGATAAAAGTGTGTTATGTTTCAACATCAGGGAACGGATGCCCTAATAAAGAATGTAATTGTTGGACCAAAAAACAGCCATTATTTCCTTCTCGGTGACAATGAAATAATGATTGTACAAACAAACACACTCCAATTATGTGTTTCGCAGTCAATGTAACTGATGGTTTTTACACCCCCAGAGTTTAATTTTAAAATACCAAATTGAACTGTATAGTGCATGATTGGTCCTTGTTTATTGTACACTTGTTCAACTCTGTCTTCAAGCGCTATCAAATATCTTTCCTTGTTGTCTATCTACAAGTGGTACAAGAAGAAATAACTTCCAATTACAAGCACTATATTCGGATGACGTTTATGAACTCTCATTCAAAAAGACATTTATTATTCCATCACTACACAATATTTCACCCTTCTATCTATCCGAAACAATCTCTTTCACATTCACAACTTATACATCCTCCCTCGTCTTAATAGCCCCCCCCAAAAGTTTATGAATGGCAAAGACAATTCTCAATCCACCAGATCAGTTTATACAGCAAACTGCACGGAGCCGTCCCGTGTCTACCCCACTCCCCATCCCTTACAGAGATCCCGAAATAGAGCCATCACCAACACCACCACAATCACCACCAACCACAACAACTATGGCAACGGCTACCACTACGACAACAACGACAACAGCACACAACCCAACTAGAAGAAACAATATGTTTGGACCTTATTTACTTTTACAGACTCTGGGGGAAGGTGAATTTGGCAAAGTGAAGCTAGGCATGCACGCCGACACGCACGAAGAGGTATCGAAATTTGAGTTGACGTGCTGAGATCCAACATCTACCCTTCAAAGGCTACTCCTAGTGGTATTGTTACTTATTCCAGATGAATTGTTTTATTTTATGTCTGCAGGTTGCAATCAAGCTCATACGGAAGGAGTCTGTAGAGAGTCAATCCCGTATGCAAAAAATACAACGAGAGATTGGAGTGTTACAGGTAAACTATGAATGCCCTCTTACATGCTGTTAAATTACATGTCTTATATAATGCCTCGCATTTATAGAGCGTCATGCACCCGAATATTGTCAAACTATATGACGTATTTGAAACAGATAAATATATTGGGATTATCATGGAATATGCGTCAGGTAATAATCACATATAATATCAATGACGTAGAGCGTATCTTTGATACAGCAGTGATAAACTCTTTACGCGTTAGCCGTATCTGTTCGTCTATTATTATCATCCAATAAATAAACTTACGCTGATTGTCGGCTTCGTTACGATTAGGCGGTGAATTGTTTGATCATATACTGGCGCATCGATATCTCAAAGAAAGGGACGCCTGCCGACTGTTTGCCCAATTGATCAGCGGAGTCAATTATCTACATAAGAAGCATATTGTGCATCGTGATCTCAAACTAGTAAGCGTTGTCGCATTCTCGATTCGAAATCCACAACGGTAGTCATTCGTTTCTCATTTTGAATCTACTATTTAGGAAAATCTTCTGCTGGACCGCAATCGAAATATCATTATTACTGATTTCGGTTTTGCAAATCAGTTCGACAACGCTAAAGATGATCTTATGGCTACTTCATGTGGTAGTCCTTGTTATGCGGCACCTGAATTAGTTATCAGTGAAGGGTTATATGTCGGAAGTGCGGTGGATATATGGAGTTGTGGAGTAATATTGGTAAATATGACATCATTATTTTCTGCTCATGCGAGATGGGATTAAGGCTAACTTCTCGGACATATGTCGTTCTGGCAGTACGCTATGTTATCGGGATATCTTCCATTCGATGACGATCCTGAAAATCCAGATGGTGAGAATATCAACCTATTGTACAAATATATTATCAACACACCGTTAGTTTTCCCCGACTATGTAAGCCCGGATGCGAGAGATTTGTTGAGGAAAATGCTAGTACCCGATCCCGCTAAAAGATGTGATATGAAAGTTATTATGTCTCACAGGTAATCACTGTAATTCTATAAATTGTTATCCGTAAAATACGTCTAACAAGATGGTTCATTATAAATGTAGATGGCTTGCTGCGTATACGTATATGTTTCAATATTCGATACGAGAGTTGGAGGTAAAAATCTATTAGATATCAATTTTCAACTTTTATCTTGGAAAACATTTTTATCTAAGTTATTCTTGTCGTTTTTGTTTAGGCTGCTGCTAATCCATTACACTCGATAGTAACAGCAGAATCATATGGGTTATCAGTGTCGAATGCATCATATCAATCATCAGATTATCGTAATGACAATCAGAGCAACTCTATTCCGAATGCAACGCCATCTGTTAAACGACACACCATACAGGTTGAATATGATGCAAGAAACGTCGTTTATGATGAATGTCCTGAAGATTTTGAATTCGTGGATGGAACTCGACTAAGGGCTGTTGAACCTTCGCCTTTGGCAGAGAAAACTGCTGCTCTTAATAGTGAAAAGGATCAATACTTTAAAGAAGGCGATGCAGATGGATTTACGATAAATGAACCTGTTGTAGCGCCGCCTCCTGATGCTGATTTAACCCTTGTAAATGAATATGGGACTACATCAACATCAATCTCATCAGATATTGATAACAGTCCTACGCCCCCCGGAACTCCACCATCTACCAATAGAACCTCGACCAATAATAATTCGGGATTATTCACTCTGTTTGAAGGGGATCCCAAAGTCAGCGGCAGCCATCAAGATAGTAGTAATCATCTAAACGTTCCGAACGCTTTATCTAGCCGAGAAATTCAAGCAGACCAGAAATATACCCACAATCAGCATCATCAGTATCCCAAAAAACGGGATGTCGCGCGCACAAGACCAGTAACAGTGTATGGAATGTTAGGAAATTCTCAAGATATCATAGGAACAGCTACACAAAAGGTATGTTGGCAACTTATTCACCCTTCATATGATTTACGTCAAGACACTTTCGAAGATAATATTGATTCTGATTCTAATAATTAACAGAAAACATCTCCCGCCGGGACGCCTCCATTTCCATCCTCTCCGACTATCCCTGATCATGGCGAAGAGCCTTCGGTTGCTTCATCAACGATTGTACACTCTACTATTCCGCCTCCACCGGCTACTACTCATAAAAGACCCCATAAGAGAGCGCCATCAACTGAAAAGTTATTTAAATATATGAGCACAAGCAGCAACGCCACAACTGGAACAGCTAGTACAGCAAATAATGTTAATAACACTTTAATACCTGCCAACGCTACTACAACAATACAGAGAACTTCACTCCAAGCGGTTGCAAATGATGCACCAACGGATACCACATCAGACACAACTAGTCTAGTGGATGATAGTAGTTTCGTTGAAGAATTCAAGAAAAGAAAGGCTCCTAGAAGGAAAGCATTGAGCATGATGGTTGATTCATTCAGGAACACATCTGCACCGCATGCTGCAGCAAGTGCTTCTAGATTAGACGATGTGAGCAACAAAGATAAGAGAAAAAGTCTAAGTGGTATGCCTTCCGGTAGCAGTTCTAATGCTGCGAAGAAAGTAATGGATTGGTTTAGGAGAAAGTCCTTTGGTACGTTCACAATGGTTATCTTACTCGACGTTTTTTTTTTCCAAGTAATTAATTGCAAATTATATTTACAGCTAAAAATCAGGACACAGCTGTTTCTGTATCACCTGCTGTTCCTACTCAACCATTAGATACAACTCAACTCAGTGTTTCGAATGTTCAACGAAGGAAGACTACTAAACCTAAACGCTCAAAGAAACAGTCAGCTATTATTGATGCAAACAGTAGCAATGCTTCTTGCGCATCATCTGTTTCTACCGTAAATTCTGTCGCCAAAGTAGAAACTAAGCTACGTGTTCATCACGGTGCTGTAGATAATTCTGCATTGACGTCAAGACACCCATACGAAGTCTTTATAATTGTTAAACAAACATTGGTGGGAATGGGCATAGAAACCAAGCGAGAAGGAGAATTCAAGGTCAGATGTGTACGGCGGAAACGGAAAGATAACACGCATATCTCTAAGGATAACAACAAACGACACTCCAAAGACAAGATGAAGGATAACATTGGCGTAACAGATACTAATGTAGAGGCTGATAAGAAAAAACGAAAATATCCATCTAGTCCGTTTAAAACATTATTGCGGCGCACTAGCTCTACCTCAGCTCATACTTCACCATCATTGGCGCCTCAAAGTGGCAAATCAAGTGTCGCAAGCACGTCTCCGAGTCTCGTTGCTACTCAGATTAATGGTGATTCGCTATCTTTGTCGATTCCCATGTCGGCAACCGCGAGTAGCAGTGGAGATGGTAGTCCTCAATCACCGTCTCCACCAAATAGTCCACATTTGGATCCAGCAATGACTATAGTTGTCCCTGAGATGAACGTTTCTTCCAGTAATAATTCGAATATGATTATGCTTCCAGAGGTTATATATGGTGATGCATCGGTGGATTCGGGCGATGAGATACGGTTTTCGGTTGAGCTCTGCAAAATTGCGAATTTGCCCGGGCTGTACATTGTTGATATTAGAAGGTTGAAGGGTAATATTTGGGGTTATAAGTTTTTGTATCATACTATCCTAGAAAAACTTGACCTTGGAGGTAAAGGTTATTTAACTATCGGCACTAGTGGTGGATACATCATGTAAGGATGATACCACGTAAAGTGTTTATTTGTGTTCTGATTTATTTCTCCTGTCGGTCTATCTTCCAGCTAATTTATTGGTGCCCTAATAATTGTCTTGTTTTTTTCAAATCTGATTTTATTTTCTTTCGTTAATAATTTGTTTCTACCTTCACGGTGTTAATTTTGCATCAGCGTAAACTCATTATCATCTACAATTTACTAATGCTCACCCAAAACCACGAAAAAGACATTTAAATAATAATATCTGGTGATATTCAATACTTTATAAAATAAATAATAACGATAAGATTCTAATAATTACAACATGCCACGATTTTATATAATACAGTGTGCGAAAAAGTAATGAGAATAAAATGCATTGTAACAAAATTTAATTTACTTTCCCATATTTAACTAATTTAAAAAAAGTTGCAGTTGCGTTAACAAGACTCGTTAGGTAGCGTGACTAAGTTTTGTTTCAGCTATAAAGCTATGGTCAAAATTATGGATTGGTAATAGCCATATCAACCCGATTGAAATTTATGTGCAATCTTAAAGAATCGTGTAGAGAAAAAAGTCAACAAATTATTAGCAAAGAAAAGACAATTGCGAAAGATTCTTTTCTTGGAATAATGCAGAAAGAATGGGATGGGGTAACCACCGGCAACATTATTCTCATTACTTTATTCTCGAAGTTGATGCTTGCAATACCCTTTGGCGATTCCAGCTACAACCCCTATTAGCGATTATCATTGCCACACAGTAATTTTATATCATATAAAATCTATACCTTTTCTTATGCATGAGTAGACTAATATAAAGTTCATTATTACTATTATCAGTAAATGTTCAAATAAACTAACCATCAAGTTGCTTTAATCCCTCACCGTCAATTATCTTTTTAAAATTTGGCTTCTTCAGGATGTCACACTGTAAACTGTTGCAACACCAGTTCTATTGTGTCTGCGGATACTAATTGAGTTCAACATACGCCCGAAGATACGATGTGAGGTCCAATCTGTGCATATTTTTTATTAATATGATATGCTACACTCATTTTACAGAAAGGACTGTCTCTAATCACGAATGACAAGACTTTTGATGTGGTTATTTCTATACTTGTGATAATGGTAGTATTTGTATTAGTGAATAGTCCAGCAACAGAGTCCATTTCAGAAGATGATGCGATGAATAGGGGACTATAAATGGTACGATGTCAAATGCGATAATAACAAGAACAGGGCTTATTTAAGTATGTCACATTGTGTTTAGGACAATCTTATTTCAAAAAAGAACAGTACATGTTCTGAAAAGGCACAGTACAGATATTCTATACTCGGTATTGGCACACATATAGGCATTAACCTAGTGTTAGTGTTGCGTGTAATAGTAATAGTAATAGTATTAATAGCATTTAATTGTAATGCCAGACGTGTGCAATTTTAATTACCGGGTTTGTGTAACTGTATCACTAAACGTGGGGAAGATCACTTCCATTATTATTATAGTCTTGTTGTCAATTAGTGGCGATCACATTATCATACCACATGTTTTGCTCCGGGACAAAAATGGCAAGCTGACGGAAATCCACAATTCGACAAAAATGGGTTGCTAAGTCATCTTATAATGCAGTTCGTTTTATTGTACGCTTAACTCAAAGAAGGCCTACATTGAACCGAAATACAATGTGTTACAAAAACGATGCAAAAAAAACCAGACAATATTTTGTGCGATATAAATTATGTTGCAGCATTGACACTTACTAGACACTTACAGTGGTTTTTAAACTGTCAAAAAAGATTTAATCTTTTTAGTAACCTGTCCAACAGCGAAGTCTTAAATTCCATAAAGTCAATGCAGTTTATAGTCTAGGAACGGAGTTCCATTTCTGATAAATGTTAATCAACTTTGTGGAATTGATAAGATAAAAACGTAAACCAATTATTTGTGACGAGATACTCTATTAAATTTATGGCAACAAAAGCTCGTATCTTTAACGACATGACAATATAGAAGTGAGCGTGTATATCAAGCAAATCAGAAAAGCATCTTAGGAATTTCTCTTCAACTGGAGAACATTATTTTTTTAAAGCCAAAAGTTAAACAGTTGAAATAATCTCAAAAAGATTAATTATTGTTGGCTCAACCCCATTCAATATAGTCAACGCTTGTTATAATCGAATCTTTTTCTGTGGTCACAATTTTATACATTAAAAATCGACGAAATTCTATATAGTAGCTCGCGTTATTACTTCTAGTAAAATTTTCGTGAGATTGGTCTATTCACAAAATAGGGCGATGACGGATAGTCAAGCGACGACAACTATGAGTATCCGTCCATACCAGCTCATTGGACAGTATGATTTAGAACTTAATTTATTCGGAAAAGTTCCCACGATCTAATCTCAATGTTGGATCTCCTTTCAAGTATAATATTTGATGGAAGTAAGTTTCCTTACTAAAGTATGCGATGAATAAAACTGAAATGTTTATATACTATGTGGTACAAATAACCAAATATGATGCTGTAATGCACCGGTAATAGCTAATATCCTCGCTATTGCACCATTCTGGACACAGTAATCCCTGGCTAACATTCCATTCGACAAGGTTGTTTGCGAATCGGCAGGTAACCACGTTTTCAACCATTCCATCGAAAACCCGTTCCAGAGGGGTAAGAAACCTCCGTGAGTCCCCATCCCAATCGCTGACGGAAGGGTAACGTTCGCGCAAGAGCTTGTCGCTGGAGACTCGCCGTAACAGATCTTTTTCTCTCTGATTTTGCGTGCAAGGGTACAAATAAGGAAAATAAGAATGGCAAACCAAATCTTAATCATGATTCTAAGAGTAAATCTAAATTACAGTTAGAAGCATCTTTCATACAATTTCGTTGGAACCAAATGATTATTTACCTATTTAAGCACATTTTGACTATAATCACTATCATAATAACAAATATACATGTATGTAACTTTCCTCCTTCAGCGACTCACTTAACAAAGAGTTTTTTTATCTTCCATATGATAGTAAACAAATCGAGATCGCAACTCCAGATATAGTCTCAACATTGAGTAAATAAAAGATAAGTGGCTTCCGTCATTTCACCCGTGCATGGAATTTTTCACTGGTGTGATTACAGGCAATGTTTGATAGATTGTATAACTATCTCTTCGCGATTGACATGCAGTCTTTAGATATGAAGAACGTTCCGGTAAAATAGTCTATTACTTGCGCGGGCGGCGATTTTATTATAAATAGCTCACGTGATTAATTTTCTGTACCTATCCACCGATTTAGTGTACTTTAGGCTTTGGTGTATCTGAGTAAGAAATGGCATCAGCCAAGTAGAGTCGTTAATACCGCTGGATATGATAACGGCATGGACGCGCTTGACATCGGCCCATTTTCACCAGGTGGTGACTCCGACATAGGGGTGAACGCCGTACCATTATTTCACATACCTGTATGTTCCACGTCCAATTATTTACTATTTAATCACATGATAATTGTCAACATTCAAAAACAAAGACGCCTCATTAACATCAGTAATTATAATATAAATAACTCTCTTGTCAAGATCACGAAATCCAAAATCATATAAGCATGTCTTCATATTCTCCGGTAGTATCAGGATCACCGCAAATTCAGGCAGATCCTATATCGACGCCCTCTACTTCAGCAGTTGCCAGCTTGTCTAGTGGTTCTATCGCGCAACAAGAAGTCGCCGAAAATAATTCTAGGACTGACGAATCAATTGTTCACCGTGAATTGAACGCATCCTTATCAAGACTGATACCTCTTGAAGAAATAGCAGACAAAAGATGCTGGATTTGTTTTGGCGAGGAAGACGACAGCACTGGGAAATGGGTACGCCCATGTAAATGCTCTCTAATATGCCATGAGGAATGTTTGTTAAACTGGATCACAGAGACTCAAAAAGGCACCGCTCTTAAGAAAGTTAGTATTTTAGGCGCATAGCCCCCCAAGACTGTTCACATAAGTATAGAAAGTACTCTAAATCTTTTTTACCTCTCAGGTGCGATGCCCTCAATGCAAGACACCGTACCAATTAAACGAAACCAAGTCTCTAATTTTGCAATTGCTATCTGTCATCGATGCAACCGTTCAAAGCTCTATCCCGTACATTACAGTACTTGGAGTGACTTTTAGTGTGGCAATTACTCAGTTTCATTATGGGTGAGTCTTAAGTATCACACAAATCTGTTCATTTCGAAAAAGTATCGTTTATGTGATGGTTCGCTCAATTCTAGTTTTTTATAGTGCGTATGCACTGCTTACGGTAGTTGGTCTAGAAGAAGGTGGACAAATATTGCGTGGGCCGTGGTCATGGCGTATGATAGTGAGTTGAAATTTTCATCATTGACTTTTGAGAGTTTAGGCTTTTGTTAAAGAGCTAATGATTTGAAATGACCCCTTGACAGCTTAATCTCCCTCTAATACCTGCGTTTTTAATATGTTCAAGAATACCATCCTTGAACAATTACATGTTATTGAGTCCCATACTCTACTTAAAATGGAATCAGTTACGTGTCTCATTGCCACCACATCCAACTGTCACGCTGGCCATATTGCCGACCGCCAGCTATGTATATAATAGACTATATTTCCAGCTCTTTGGAAAGATGGAAGTATCATGGCAAACTCAAGTAGAACCCTATGCAGTCGCTACGATCGATGGTGGGAATGGGGACAATGCTAACGAACGAGCACGTAATGATCGAGATCTCATAAATAGGGTAGAGAGAAGAGATTATGGTCGACTTATTGTGGGAGCTCTGTGTCTTCCTTGTAAGTTACAGCAGATGTTGTTTGACAAATTACTATTATACAGTAGTTTAATTTTGGCAATAACATTAATTTGTAAACGTAAACCGAAGTTTTGTCTGCGGCATTTGGGAGGTAAGGGTTATATGCATAGGTTATATTATATTAGCTGTTTAGTCATTTTACTTAATTCGAAAATTACGGAACACCTCTTTATAGTTTATTAGGCCGCTTTAATGTTGTTAAATCAAGGATACCGGATCATTTCCATCGTAGTATCCTTGGTGGATGTTTGTTGATAGTTTTTAAGGTATAGTACGTACATCTCCAAAGCTGAAAACTCAGACTAGTTATTTACCTTCCACAACGAATTTGTTATAGGATGCTGTAAACCTTACTCTCAAGTATCAGAAAGCGAAAAACCGAAGATCGCGTCACGTTAGGAATTATGATGAATTTGCCCGTGAATTTGAACCTAGGCGGCGCGCATAAACTACGGTAATGATATTGGTATAAATTAGAGTGAGAGATGTCCTGCTCAAATTGCTGAGTCAGGGCAATTCGAGTTGTGACCTACTCCGTTGTCTAAAGATACGTTTACTAACATGTCATCAATTGCGTTTTCTTGTAGGATTAAGTCAAATCCAATATCTATTATCCTCACGCCCTAAAAAATTACTAGATTTACCATTTGCTTGGTTAAGCTAGCCAATTTCTCCTTTACCTCTGATCAATTCATCTGTATTATTGTCAATTTTACTGTTCGCGTGGCACTTGTCATCCACATTAGGAAGTAGATCTATTATTAACAAATTTCCAATCTTGGGCCATCAAAGCTAACCTTTCAAATTTCGCTCAGTGTTCCATCTATGTCATGTAGAAATAGATCCGATCATAATCAGACATTTGAGTTTTGATACATTCTGTACTCTATAAATATGGAAGTGTCTTTGAACCCATTCAGGACTATCATTATTGACAAGTGTACTGTGGCCTGGCACAAATTAAGGAAATGTGATCAAATATGCTGAGAAGAGCAGCTAACATCAAGAGTTATAAGAACAATAAATTAGAGTTGAGCACCGTACAAGAGATGAGGTAATTGCAATAAAACCAGGCGAAGTGAACATATGAATGTCCTATCCTTGGGACTATACCATAAAGTGTGTCCTCGGTATACTATTTTCATGGCAAGTTGAATCATATTTATGACACCGTAAATATGATTTTTAAAAGTAGGGGTCTGAAATTTGGCCCTGAAATTTGTTTGTGATACAGCATTGATATTAATCAGTTGTCGCATGTTGCTGTCATATGTTTGTTGTTGAAAGAAGCAGTTCCAAACAGAGCATACACACATAATTTTTAGTTGCGATCGTTAACAAGTTGTGAAAATGATAACATATATTGCACTGTTGTTGGCTCTATTCTTACTAGGTATTGTTATTGGCAAGTTTACGTATCTGAAGTTCAATAATATGTAGTCCGCATCGTGTGGAATGCAAACCATGCACCCGTTGCCTCATTTCATGCTCATAAGTAACGACGCTATCCTTTTCTCTAGTGGCGTACTATTATCGCGATCGAATATTGCCGAAACTACCGTATTTTAAAAACCGATATCAGCGCGTTCCAGCTTACTTCTCTACTTCGTCTTTTCAACAAGATATTGAGGATGGACTTACTTCAGAAACGTTCGACTTGCAACAGAATGTTGTGGATGGTGACTCTCGCGCAGGGTTGGAGAATTCTGAGGAAATAAAACGCATTATGGAGGAGGAAGGTGTAAACTTTGACCAGGCAAGATTAATCAGACAACAAAGGAAGTTTAAGTCGAGCAATATTGATCCATTAACGGGAATTCCAAAGGATCCGAAATTTGTGTCTTTCTAATGAACTTGGGCTCTTTACCAGAGAAGATGAAGACGAACAGCAGACATTTGTTTTTATCAATTTTCTTGTTTATTTGCAAACATTGATATTAGTAAACTATAGATATGTTTGCATAAAGGGCTTTCATACTGTTACAATTATGTTACAATTAATTACATTGTTATTATCATAATTTGTCTATATTTTGTACTATTTAACATGCTTACTATTACTATTCATATTTGTTATAATGGATCGAACAACATCGGTGGTCCGTTAATCTACGTATTGTACTAATAACTTACATCACGAAACGTTGATGACAAGAAAGTATACGGAATCGCCATGCGCTCCGAAGATTAAAAATAAGTTGTGATGGAGATATGGAAAACCATGGATTTACACATGACACATCTTTAATGATTGATGGCAAATTGACAGAATTGTGCTTTTACGAGTTTTGCAGAAATACTCCCAATTCAAATATCATTATAACACCAGGTTTAAAAGAACCTGATCTCAAAATCAGAAAAAGCTTAATTTTAAACAAACATTGCAATACATATTTGTGAGTCCTAATAATATCTCAATGCAGACTATGTGCTCCAACACCGAAGCGTATGATAATATACAGTTTTCATGACGAGGCACTGGTTTGTCTCCCATGCAAACTGCGGTTATTTGCTAGGTAAAATTATGTATCAGCCCTCATTCAAATAATCGTTAACAGGAAACGTTATTACATGTCTTTGTATCCAAAAAAGATTATTGATGGTAATTATTGGTTGGTGAATAGCCAAGACAAGGTATTTGAATAAAATTCTATTAAAAACTCACTGAATGTATTGAATAGTATACTGATACTAGCACATGATCCTTAAATTATTGGCGAATTTACGTAATCCTAATCTCAAGAGAAATAATGCGTTTAGGTTATCCAGACAATATCAAAACAAATCTCCAAAAACAAGTTTTTATCGTCGAATTTAATCGTATATTGTGAACATCAGGATTTTTTTTACGATGATTCTTATATAGTTGAAGAAATTATAATGGTTGGAGCGATAACCAAAACAAAACTAAAGCCGAACCTTTGTTTAAGCTAAAGCTGACGGGAACGCAGACCATAAGGTGAACAAACCCATCGTAGTGAGTGCACACCGCACGAAAGCGCATATCTTCAGAGGGTCAAAGCGCAGATGACACTCCTAGTCGCATAACCACATTCGAAAACAAATAACCTCAAAGTTTGACACTTGCAGAGACTCCGACTATTTCTGCATCTTTTTTTTTTAGTTCTTCAAGATCGCATCTAAGCGTATTTTCTGGACATTGTGAAGAGAAACGCTTGGTCATCAGATTGATCTCATTGTAATTGGTCAATCTTGCACCCGGGTTCCTTCATTATTGTTGTTTCCTGATTGTAGCTGGACAGATCCCGCCAGTTTGCATATTAATAATATTTAAATACGTTATTTATTTTCTCTATCTCATGTCAATAAAATTGATCTTAGAAACTAGTTAGTATTTAATTATTGTAATAGCTGACTGTATTCTGGATAAGAATTTTAATTTTAATACTAATATTAGCTCAATAATCAGGCTGCATACACGTGTACTACATCTGCAACAGCATCCAACGGTTGTTGAAGTAGCAGTTGGACGTTTTCAACAGTTCTTCCGCAGATAACTGCAACTTCCTTCAATTGATTGACCGAGAACACTATGCCAACCGTCCCAGAGATCCCTAATACGTGGGCGATTTTCTGCAGACGTAATGTGTACGTATGTCAGTAGAATATACGACAATACACGGAGTGAGACAGTGTCAATTTGGTGACTAAGTTGTTTACACGTCCTTACCATGTCCCAACCGATTGTTTGCCAATTTTTATATAAGAACGTTACAAATATACCAGCAAAACTACAATTTATTCAATCCGTATCATTTTGCCGACAACTAATTACCTAAGAAGGATAATTTTGAAATAATGTTGGTGAACATTCGTCGGTGAAATGATTGTCGGCGAAATGATTGCCTCCCCCAAAAAAGTATGTAATGAGTATAGTCATCATGAATAGTCCATTGTTGTCATGGATGGCTTACAGTACGGCGGCGAGTTCCACCAGCGATCCAAGAATTTCAAATGTTTCTTGTCGTTCAACAAATTTCTTCATAGATTTCTCTGTTCGTTTCAACCGAACGTCCAGTTCATTGAAGCAACGGATAACTCTTTCAAAGATTTCTAGTACGATAAAACAAAGATTATCAGTAATGATTGAAAAGATAAAATATACGATTGTTAAATGATCTACCTAACGCTCGGTCCATGTAGTCCTCGGGATGCCTCAGCACATCTAGCAGCTGTGTTATTGCATTATTAAGGGCTCCTATTTTAGGTATCAAACACGCATCTACATTCCCAAACACAAGCCGGAAGGCTGCATTTCCAACAGCGTGCATCACATCTTTTCAACGCAGAATTAGCTGCTACTTGAAACGATACCCAGAGAACTGCTCTAAGCTAATGTACAGTCAAATGACAAAAATGACACGTAAATAATTATGTGGGAAAAAATAGCTTTAAGTTAAACAAACAGACAAACAATTTCATTCTATTAGCTTTCACAACTTTAATTAATGCATTCGAATTCTTAATGCAGTGTTCAAAAGAAGATCTATCCGAACACCAGATGACACCATAACACCCTTGACCATGATCTCTAACATCGACATATCTCGCTCCGGGAGAAAGTGTCCTCAATATCAATGGATCCGTTACAAGTGTCCAGCGACTGCCTTGCTCACTATTGTCCTCAATAGAAAGTATTCGATCTACTAGTCCTTTCTCCTCGATCGATTCTTCATGAGAGTCATTATCTGTATCGCTTGGCAGCATCATGCACATTAACTCGACGGTGAGAGAATCGGTCGGGCACCAGTCATCAAATCCGCTGCGACTCAGTCTGATCAATTCAGGTGAGTTACGCAGACGAGACACAATAGATGAACGCATGTCGTTGTCGCGAAAGCATATCTTAATCTGTGATTCATACCGTAATCGAACAGTGAATATTCGTGATGTAAAAGTGTGCTTCCAATAATTGGATGTCTATCTACTTATGCGAGCGCTTGCCCCACTGACGTTCGTGTCCGATAATATTTGTCTAAGGGTGATTTCATTAGGTGGGCGTTATTTACAGCATAAGCATACGTGTAGGGAAATATCATAGTTTAGATGTTCACGTAAAAGTTAAAGAGTCTGTCAAGATTATCAGATAACGTCCTGCTTTATTCATTCTTTGTAAACTCACACGTAAATTCGTCACTTGAAATAAAAAGAAAAAAGAAAAAACAGAGCAGAGCAGAGCAGAGCAGAAAAAAAAATTATATTTTGTTTTTTTAAATATATCTCTTTATATATACGTACAAAAAACGCGGGACATGCCCAGTTGTCCGCACTATCATCGTCTATGTTGTTTAGTTGTACATTATAAATGACGTTGCCATTAGAGATGGCTACAGGATAATAATTTAGAGGAAGGTTGTCGAGCTGAGTCATGTTACGGAACAGACCTTGTAGCGATATAAGCGGTCATTACATGCTTGTTTGTGTTGAATAATTCCTTGCTTTCCCGCTTAACTGTCGGTGACCTGTGACTTGTATTACACAAGGCTCGAATAAAATCAAAGTAAAAATATTTTTATATACTGAAATAGGAAATAGTAGTGATATTCTCTTACGTGATACAGTCTGCCTTTAATTCGACCGCCTCCGTTCCGGAGTCATCGGTCGAATTAACGTATAAGCCCGAATTAAAGGCAGACGTACTTAAGGAAAACAATAATAAAAATATTTTTCGGGTCTTGCTCAAGCGATCGAATTATCGGCGAAATCGAATTAAAGGGGGTCGAATTAAAGGCTATTGACTGTACCAATTTATCTATTGAAAAAAGGGCTCGAGTATATATATATATTTTTTTTTCAAACCGAAAATGTCTACGAGTACTACTGATCCCTCGGTAGAAGATGTTGAAGGATTTAATACGGAACAACTTATCAGATACTTACAAACAAAAAACTTGAGCCGTAACAACACTGACTATAAAAAAATTCGTAATGAGAGGGTCGCCGGTTTAGACTTTCTCCAACTAACCAGAGAAATACTTTGCTCTGAACCTTACAAATTTCCTGATGGACCAGCAAGAAGGGTTGAAATGTTAGTCGATTCGTTGAGTAAGTTCTATCATAAAAGTAGTTTATTTTGTCCCATTTTCTTTATTTATTTACTTCAACTTGCATTTATTCCCCCTTCTTTCCACGATAGTTTCAAATAACAGAGGAGCCTCCATTAAAGCGTGTTTGTGTTGATCAGTCAGCTGCGATTTGCTGTCGTCTGGTTGAAAAGCTGCCATTCATGCCTAATATTGGAACATTGAAGGGCAATCCTCTCATTGAAACTTTGCGACAAAATACCAGTTCACCCATCTATTTACAAACAGCTAGAGCATTTTGAAGAGACTGTTAGTGTGGACGAAGTGCCTGCTTACAGTTTGTATGGGGTGGCAGGAACACTAGTCGGTAGGCACAGCTTAACCCTCAATGATCATTATTGGTTGCAAACATAGCCTTCTTATCTTTCGTTGTTGTTTAGACGAGAATACCTTGGCCCACCGTCCCTGTGGTACTGAAGAGTCGCTGCGTGGAAGTGTCGATGACCTCATAAGGACAGTAATCCTATATGCTGTAGAGCAAGTTCGAGAACTTAAAAGTCTTTTGATTCTGGATAGAAATAAAACTGACAGCACGTCAGCAACAGTCAAGGATTTCCGACCTGACTTCATGTGCTGGTTCAAGGCAGTGTTATTTCTTAAAGGGGAGGAAAAACCGACTGTGGTTGACTTTGAAGATGCAAAGAAAGAGCTCTCTTCGAAACTAGGCTCGATAAATGAATATTGGTATGGAAACGTGACATTCATGCTTGCATATGCATGCGGTGATACAAGAATACAATTTCTTGCTATTGACAGCAATTTCTAACATCATAAATTTTTCTAGATATGGATGTTTGCATAATATATCCCCATGCTATGATAGGACAATAAGTGAGGACCGCTTCTGTATTATCCGCACTGTATTTAATATCTTGCGTTTTGCAAACACAATTGCTGATGATCTTCCTAGTAATCGCTACGGCTTGGTGATATCATTGTAAATGCCATTTCCTCCCTTCTATATCTTCTGGTTTGTTAGAAGTTTTTGGAAATAGTCAAAGGATGTTATGCCAAATCCGGTCATCTGCCATATTTCTCTGCACATAATCATCGTATTGTGCATTTCGTAAACGCCAGATCAAAGGTAAACATAACGTATGATGATAAGCAGACGCGTTGATATCATGCATGATAATTACGTCATTGTCGATAATTCAATAAGTATAAATAAGTGTGTTTGTTTAATGAAAAGCAAAAGATATGTGATGCGCAAGTCAGCACAGGAAAGCAGAAGGATTTCGACAGACAATGCGAGTAGACAGAAATGCCCTGACCGCGAACTCATTGGTCAGGTCTCGATCGAAAATGCAAGGGCTTTGCACGAACGATCGTACCGGGAGATATCGAGAGGCTGTGAGCGGCTCTGCGTACGAGCTTGTCGAATAAGTTCTCGGCAAGAACAGTACCAAGATCGTGGTACTCAGTTCGGGCGTCGACCTCAATGACACCGAATCCGGTAAGCTTGTCGAAAACCTATTATCAATCGTTACTATCTTCACAGCAAGGCATATCGGGCTCAGATCAGCTGAAAATCGAAAGCAAATTTACGGTTATTAGAAAAAACCCATTGACTCTCGTCAGGAATAGGAGGGTCTGAATGATGATCCCTTCCTTATGTTAACGAATAGCAAAGCTAATTGAGCGCGGGAGGGGGAAAAGATAGATTTTGTACATAACTAGTAACCGTGTTTGGCAACTTTTCGTTTGTGAGAGATATTTATGACGACACACCACTGTATGAATCGCCTGGGACATTTTGACTTGTGTATTTGCGTTCCTCGATAACCACGATGATGTTCGGGGTAAGGCGATCTCGCTCGGTGATTTTGATAAAATATTCAATTTATCCAAGAAATACAGAGTGACAAAGATCTTGCTCTGGGAAGAACAAACAAGAAAGAGATTTCGTTTGAGGAAAAAGATATTAAACGAATCCATAATTTGATTAATGAGTGCCATCACCAACTGGTCCATTGGTTATGTCAGAATTACAAAATCGTTATTTGGTCGCATTTCAGGTTGTGAATGTTCTTACATCACACAAGTCGAGGTTGTAAGGTCATGAATGTACGGAAGAGTATACATCAAGATCGTAAAATGTGATTCGTGCGAGGTGGAGATGGATCGGGACGTCAGGAATATCTTGCTCAATTATTTAACAGAGGGTCAGGTTTTGGCCTGGCTTGAGACTTGAATCTATATTAATATGGGATACGATGTGCGTAGTAAAGACTAACTTTACTTATTCATATTGGGTTCAACTTCAAGGGTGACCCATTATTTGGAAACTTGAACTTTAAATCAGAAGAAAACCCGCACCTCACAAATAACGATTCAGACCAATTTTTCAAGAAAACCTGGAGTACTTTTAACAGTTTTATCTCCCGCCATTAATCCTCAGAAATCAATATTATTACAAATTTATATATAATATTAGCCCAATCCTCCCGACAATAGAACAACGCGACGTAATTAAATAAGTAATCTACTACGTCTTTCCAAAGAAACTTAATAAAGTCTTCTGTCCCATACTACCATTATGCTTTCTCTTGGTAGATTTCGGGCTAGTAGCGTTGTTTTCAGATGAATTACAAGCTCTGTTCATTTTAGAAGACGTCACGTCTCGTACAGCTGATTTGTCCTCAGAACGTGCTTCCCGTTCAACAACATCCTCAGTTACTGAGAATAATCACATTAGCTACGACGTATTATTTTCGAAACACAACTTTTACTACGCTCACCTAAAAAGCCTCGGGCATCCCTGTACACCTTCGTACCAGTCTTTCTACTTTTCGTTAATTTCTGTTCCATTGGTTGCGGTTTATTTGTTGAAGCCTTATTAGCAATTTCGACCGTAAGATTCGTTTCTTTCGTCATGACCGTAAGATTCGTTTCTTTTGTCATAACCTTCATCAAAAGCTCCGGCTTCCGTGGTGGTACTATAGCAGATCGGGAAATATCTGCAATGACAGCATTCTTATTTTTTATGACGTTGAAGCTGTGGTCATGCATAAAGGGGGTTATTTTTGAATTGGTATGTTGAAAACATGGCATAATCGATTGGCGTTCTACTAGACTAATATTTTACTTTCTCGGTTCAGTCGTTTCTTTTTGAATGGCATGATTCACCACAGCAAGTTCTGAATCCTGTTTGAACAAAAGAGTTAACAAATGGTCCAAAGTGTGTGAACGTAAGTATAAACATACGACCTTTGGTTTACTATATCCAACGCTATAAACATGAACGCTGGTCAATTTCGCAAATTTCATTTTAACGTCTTCAAAATTTACATGCACCATCAGATATGTAATCGCTTGTTAAAATGCGCAGATAATGACCACATACTCTCGAGGTCCTCCTGTGATACTAAGGTGACAATTCGTTGTTCGTCCGTCAGTATTCCACATACACAATATGTAATGTGGACGCACTTTCCGGTATTATCGCACAATGACTTGAATTCCGAAAGCAGCCTGTAGAACACTGGTAAGCGTAGCCGAGTTTAGGTATGCAAACAAGCAAAGAACTTACTGCTTAGCCAGGTTGACATGAATACCAAAGTGTCGACTAATCCACTTGTATGTTACCTAACAAAAGCGAGCGACATAAACAGCAAATTACAGATGGTTTGTTTAGCTAATAGGCTCGTTGCCAGACGCGTTAGAATATGTTCTCTTACACTGATTCCAACGGCTGAGACTTACAAGACGTTTTTCATCGTGAATAAAAGTATTGAGAATGTTTAACTGTTCTGTCGTTGTCATCAGTCGTAACGATTCGGTCAATCAAACAAGGTGGGTAACAATTAATAGAATATAGCTGGGCAAGCGCGTTCCATTCATTTCTACTCTTATTATGTTCTTTTCGCAGTTAGGCAAGTCACATGTACAATTATGACGTCATATAATTGAATATTAGTATTTATTTATGGTCATGCGCGATACTATATCGATATTATCCATAATATTGAAGCAAAATAAGTTTTGACAGATTGAAATCTCTTCTTTCCGAAACTATACAAGTATGGCTAAGGTAGGCATAACTTGTCAGTAGAATTCTATGCACGTATCACAGCTTATCTCATGAACATCTAATAGGTATTTGATCGAAAAGCTGATGAGAAATTAGTTTTTGAAACAAGTGAAGATGTAAAAGTGTAAGTAGTTGCCTTTTTACAAAGCGTCGGCTTAGTATTTCGAGCTGGATCGGCTTCATTTCATGCATTTGAACCTTGCCTCTACTTATAGTGTACCTACTTTTGACTCTATTGGACTAAAAGAAGATCTGCTTCGAGGAATATATGCTTACAGTAAGCTGCAAATATCTTCTTCGAGATGATTTGAAGAAATTTTTTTAAACCATTGCATTCCGATCTAGATTTTGAGAAGCCATCGGCTATCCAGCAGAGAGCTATAGTCCCTATTATAAAAGGTCGTGATGTTATTGCTCAGGCGCAGTCTGGAACGGGTAAGACTGCTACTTTCTCTATTTCGATCCTCCAATGTATTGATACCACTGTGCGGGAGACACAAGCTCTTGTTTTATCGCCTACAAGGGAACTAGCAACTCAGATACAAAGTGTGATCCTGGCTCTTGGAGATTATATGAACGTTCAATGTCATGCATGTATCGGTGGGACGAGCATTGGTGAAGACATTCGTAAGCTCGATCATGGTGTTCATGTAGTATCGGGGACGCCGGGACGCGTGTTTGATATGATTCGACGCCGCAATTTGCGTACTCGCAACATAAAAATGCTAGTGCTGGACGAGGCTGATGAGTTACTGAACAGAGGTTTCAAGGATCAAATCTATGATGTATACCGATATCTCCCGCCAAATACCCAAGTAGTGTTATTGAGTGCTACACTGCCATATGACGTGCTTGAAATGACCACTAAGTTCATGACTGAGCCAATCCGTATTCTCGTTAAACGTGATGAATTAACGTTGGAAGGGATCAAGCAATTCTTTGTGGCCGTGGAGAGAGAAGAATGGAAGTTCGATACGTTATGTGATTTATACGACACATTAACAATCACTCAAGCTGTCATATTCTGCAACACAAGACGGAAGGTGCATTAGAGTTTAAAAGTCTATATTGATTGTTATCTGAAATATTTGGGCTAACGTGTACACCGGCAGGTTGATTGGTTGACAGAGAAGATGCGAGAAGCGAATTTTACTGTCTCTTCGATGCATGGTGATATGCCACAAAAGGAACGTGATGCTATAATGCAGGAATTTCGTCAAGGGGCAAGGTGACTTATATAATTACTGTCATGTTGGCTTGGTTCGTATTTATACGATTTCCAATTGGTTTCTGTTATTTCTTTGAATAGTCGCGTATTAATTACCACAGACGTTTGGGCGCGCGGAATTGATGTTCAGCAAGTATCTCTAGTGTAAGAATAACAATTATTGATCAGGATTTACAAGTGACTTGTTTATTATTTGTTTTTGAATGCTATTAACAGGCTTTCGTTTCGTTTATCATGCAGAATAAATTACGATTTACCTGCCAACCGCGAATTATATATTCACCGTATTGGTAGGTCTGGACGTTTCGGGCGAAAAGGTATGAATATCAAGTCGATGTATTTCTTTAGACGCCCTTTCGTTTTGTTTTCAGCAATTGATAATTTTGTTACATTGTGAAATGAAAGGTCATATTCTAGTATCTGATTAAACTGCGCTCTTTTGTAATTTAGGTGTCGCCATTAACTTTGTGACATCGGAAGACGTTCGCATACTTCGTGATATTGAACAATACTATAGCACCCAAATTGACGAGATGCCGATGAACGTATCCGATCTGCTTTAATAAACGATCAATAAATTGCTTCATACAGAAATAGTAGGTCTACTTCCTTGCGAGAATATCAATGATAGGGCAATTTCACTCTTGGTTGTTCGCGTTTATACCGGCTTTTCCAATATACATGTGTACTGAAATCATGTGACGATGGAGTCGGTCTTCGTACTTGAAAATAAGCAGTCAACACTTACAATGATTAGAATTGCATTGACATGAAGGATGGAACATAATTTTCGAACGATTAACAATTGAACTTGAAATAGAGTATGGCACAAAATAATTCTACCCCATTACATGTGATGCTTAATTCTATGTAATTATCAAATCTCACGATAAGTAAGCGATCCCCAGATAAGAGTAGATAACGCGGTTTATCAGGTCGATTTAGATAGGAAGATTTTTATTAGGTACTTTCAACTCGTAAAAAAAAGGTCACATCACACGCTACGTCGTTGGCGAAAAATGGAAAGATCTTTCTGATTTTCCCGAAACAGAAACAGGACCTTGAAGTGAGTACCTCGACATGTCAGATCGCTAGAATTCGACCGCCGTTTGTGTATAGATAATACCAATTCACATCGTATAAAACTCTAATCGAAGTCAACGCCTGCCAAATCTTCAATGTGACGTTCACGAAGTTCCTCATTCCTGTGACACTTTTCCTTCTTCCCCTCAATAATCTCAAAGGAGCAAATCGGATTTGTTGGTGATTCCTGCTAGATAACTCGACAAGTTAGCGATTTAGACAAGGTTTGCAACTCTGATCGGTTTGTACTGATATTTAACCACTAATATTCCTATCCAGGGTAGTCTATACGTTGGGGTCTACGTGTATTGGTTATCTTACTTAAATAGCAATCTCCTACGGATTACCGTTATTCCAGTACCACCGTTACCGACTAAATCGTTTGCTTTAAGTCCCCACCGCACCTATACTTCCCACCTTGCTTATAGTAAAAAAGAGACATACGCCAAACAAAAATAAGTTATTTTTTTCTTTATAATAACTAATAAACTTCCCGTAAGGTTTACTGCTGTTTTTCCAAGTGTTATTAGAGCATTAGCGGTTTACTTTATTATTATTATTTCTAGAGCCATATACTTGTCTTTTCACAAGCTGTTACCAAAAGTCCTGATGCAGAATTTGCCAAACCTGATAAGTTTATGATGAGTAAGTTGACAAGCAGCAAATGTAAAGGTTATTTTACATGCATCCATCAATATTATATTTTCGATTTAACATCTTCTATATAAGAATTAACAAGTCTAAAAACGTGACGATATTAAATCTTAACCTTCCTACTGACCCTCATTATTTTCGCCGGGGATTATATGCCTAATAGCAACAGCGCATTAAACATATTGCCTAATACAGTTTGCGTATTTAAATTTACGAGAAATTAAAGAAGACGTCTTATAACCCTTGCAAATCTCCGACCTGACCGAGACTCTCTCCTATATTGTTTCTTTCACGATCCTGCTTGTATTGTTGACAATACATGTTGTCTTCCTCCATTTATCGGTTTCTTAAAATAATACACGCTGAAGGTTGATATTATAAATGTACATTATTCTTTTCGAAAAATACAACCAATTGACATCAAAAAGATATCTGGGTTTACATAGGGGACGATATGTTTCACTAATAAATTTTTATTTTTGATTTAATAAATTGAAGACTATGCCAGAAATAAAATTAGACATTATTGAGTTTATTATTCGTCGAAAAATTATTAGGCTTTGTTCACGTAAGCGCTTGTATTACCGTAACAAGCGAAAGTCAACCGTCTAATTAGAGCAAGTGATTGCTTTGTCTTAAAATTGGGTTTCTGACGAAACTACAATTCAATTGTTTTGCATGGTTACGCGAAAAAAAAAACTGTTTAACCTGTGGTAAAACATTCCGTTACAGCTCACATTTGGGCTGCGGTTAACATTAAAGAGAAAATCGGAATGCACATATTTACCGAGAATCTACAATCGTTTATATAATAACGCTGACAACTTGCTGGGTCATAACTGGGTATTTAGCAAGATAATGGCGTCCCATGATGTTCAGACAACTTGAAATCTCGTCTTCCACGGCGCGTTTCCCCGGACCTTCTTAAAGTCCAGATTAAAAATATCTGGGCTGTTTTGAAGCATGGCGCGCATTTAAAAAATGGCGGTAAAAAAATATATATTTTTTTTTTTCAATTTGTTTTTTTTTTAATGTAATTAGAGAGAAATGGGATAACTCGAAGAAAAACCATAATTAACAGTATTGGTAATATGAAATCGAGTTCAGGTTTGTATTAGTACTGAAGAGACCATACTAATATCAAACATTAATTATTTTCATTAATAAAATTTGTAATTATAATATTTAATCTTTATTAGAAGTCTTATTTAATTTTATTTCTCAACATAAACCATTACATCCCAAAAATAACTTTTTAATCTTAAGTAAAAAACAACATTTATATACGACATATATATATATACTGTATATCTATAGTACCGTCTCGACCACCCCTTTGATTTTTAATTAATTATAAATAAATACACAACCAGATGTCCTATAGCCATGAAATTTATACCATTGTTAACGCACACAAGAGCTAATGTTTCTGCAAAATTTTATTATAGGTAAATAGAATTTTACAATATGAACTATTAGTAATTAACAAAAACCAAAGAGAAACAGCCAAAGCAGTGAACTAAAATTTTCCTTATCCAATTCTCACCAAGAGCAATAAGCACGTGGATTTGCTTATAAATACGGGTACTGAGAAATTGTCTTATTAGTAATCATAAACTTTATTTCTTCTATTATTTTTTATTGTATTTGGATAATTTGGAAAGTTATATTTTTTTAAACCACTGGGCTGGTGCTTGGCCGGAGACTGATACCGGAAAATCTTAAACATAAACGGTCCCAACAGATAATTTACTTAATAATATCTTACAATTTTACATTCATTATAAAGAGCGTAAAAATGCTACAAAATACCAAAAAAAGTTTTTGCAAATAGCTTGTTAATTGCTGAGTTATTAAATTTTAAACATAATCTAAAAATTTAGTAAAATTTACTAATAAAAATTTTTCCTTAAACACATATTCAAGCATAATTGAATGTAAAAACCAGTTATAATATTTATAAACACTTATTTGTATAGCCTTTAGCCTTTGTAACTGCTTTTACTATACTTAAAATAAGGATTTGATATACAGTGTGTCAAAAAAAAAAAAAAACCGAAATAAAAGTTTTATTCACTGTATCTCAATGCATGGACCAAATTAAATGGTTTATAGCTTATTTGAAAGGTGGAAAACAACAGATTTTATTAATAACAATTAATAAGCAATTCTCTCTCCATAATAAGCTCACAACGATGTCTCATTGAGCCCACAAGATTTTTTATAACAGTATCCGGGATACTTCTCCACTCCTCCACCATAAATTGCTCCAGTTCATTGATATTTTTGGCATCCGTTTTTCCACATTACCCTTCACAATAGCCCACAAATTTTCAATAGGATTTAAGTCAGGACTATTGGATGGCCAGTCCATGACTACTGGAGCATTCTCATCAAGAAAGGCTTTAGCAAGACGACTCGTATGATTGGGGTCATTGTCTTGGAATTCCATTCGTAATGTATTTAATATTGTCAAGTCATCACGGTAAGACAGTATAATAGCAATAATAATAATAAAAGATCTGATGACCAACAGGACCATCATGTGACTAAACCGAATACGCATCAGTATTAGTATAGCTTTAGTATTAGAGTGGTGATTTCCGACCTGATCACCAATCTTTTATGTGACAAACCCCAATCTGAGATATACGCATACATATATATACTAATTGGTTTATACTCTTGGCGTAGAAATAATGTCTACGACACGAGCAGTAGCAACAGCAGGAAAAACAAATGCAGCAGCTGCAACTACTGTAACGACAACCGCTACGTCAGTCACTACTTTACATAATACTGAACAGGAAACAACACATAAGCGATATCATGACAAACACAGTGCGAACTATGTAATACGGACTGGTGCAGCTGGAGGAATAGCTGGCTGTATGGTACGTGATTCATTCTGGGAATTTGCAACATAGCGAAGACTAAGGCATGCAGCTTCTTACGCCTTTCAGGCAAAAACGGTCATAGCGCCTCTCGATCGAGTAAAGATCCTATTCCAGGCCAGCAATCCCCAATTTCAAAAATATGCAGGTAAACCCCTGTAAGTCAGGTCTTCCAAAAAGATGGAAAAGAAAAGCTTCTTTCTACGACTTATCACCAGCTATTAAATCACAATCATAGGATCATGGTCAGGGATATTCCAAGCAGCCCGACAGCTCTACATACTCGATGGGTATCGAGGCCTGTTTCAAGGTCATTCGGCAACGCTTATAAGAATATTCCCATATGCAGCTGTGAAATTTGTAGCCTACGAACAGTTTAAACATGTATGAATGATAAGGAATCGGATCAGAAGTTTTAATACGATTAGCGTGATTTTTGGATCAACGAGAATTGTTATTTTATCCCTTATCACTCAGATCTTTCATTTCTATTTTCTATCTTTAGGTGCTGATGCCAACACGAACATCTGAAAATCATGTTAGGCAGTTCATTGCAGGGTCGCTTGCTGGTGTGAATTGTTTTAATTAAGAGAATGCGCTTTCCTCACATTGATTTCTTTCTAACAACTAAAACATTTACTTTTCACATTTTCAAAGGTATAACTTCTGTGCTAGTAACATACCCACTAGAACTCGTCCGTGTCCGCCTGGCTTTTGAAATTCGCAAAGACACGCGAATAGGCATACGTAGCATCTGTTCTCAAATCTACAGCGAACCCGCCGCCTCTCGCCGCGTATTATTTCATTTTCCTCTGAGGAATTTCTACCGTGGACTAATGCCCACGATTGCGGGCATGGTACCGTACGCTGGAGTTTCATTTCTGACTCATCATGCTTTATCCGAATTTTGCCGCAATAGGCTGTCGGAACTAACGACAGATCCTTCACTTGTTCGTGGCAAACTCGACGGACGTGGTCAGAAGAGGAGAGCACCATTGAAAACATGGGCTGAGTTGGTTGTTGGGGGGTTATCTGGAGCAATAGCACAGACAGTATCCTATCCATTTGAGGTTATTAGAAGGAGGATGCAAGTATATGGAGCTTTGGATCCGGCAAGATTTGTGGGAATTTGGGAAACAACAAGGACTATTTGGATACAAAACAGATTTAGAGGATTTTTTGTCGGGTTGACCATTGGTTATCTGAAAGTGACGCCAATGGTCGCAGTATCTTTTACAGTGTATAATAGAATGAAATTATTATTTAATGTCGATTGAGTAAATAATCTACGAGAGAGATACAGGTGGTGTAGTTGGAGTTGCAAGTCCTATCGAGTCCTGTGGCATAATCGTGGAAAATGGGCTGCCTTTTTATCTGGACGTTCGTCTGGACTCTTCTTCACAAGGTGATACTTGATTAATTAATGTTTTGAGGCTGTAATAGAATATCTATGCTGTTAACCAGCCGTCTTCTCGTAGACTACGTGACGTCTTTAGTTAAATCCTCTGGGATCCACATTTTAATTCAGGGGAAGTACAGTACGCGCACGTTCATACTCTGTACCCTTTAATTTTGTTGTGCATTTTAAATAATATTGTTATTATGCTTTCTGCATTTTGACCATTAATAAATATTATTCACCTTATTCTAAACTTTCAAAAAAGCTACATATCTTAGCAAAAAGTAGCACATACGAGAATAACACATCTTTAAAAATTGTTTTTGTAAAAAAGTTTATGTAAATTTTTTAGTTTTATAAAATTTACTTTATTGAGACTATGGCAGACTCCCCCTATTACTAGACAGTATTTTTGTTTCACTTTATTCCGAATCCTATGAGCTAAAAATCTCAACAAACCGAATAGTTGTTGAAGGGTAATGAATTTTTAAAGATAACTACTCCGTCCCCTCGAGTTTGTGATATTTATGGATGTAATTTACTTGCCTCTCATATTTCCATTTGTTTCTCCAATGTTTTGCTTTTTCAGAGTCTTCACTCTCCTGTTCTTCCTCCTGATTATATTCATCGCTGATTTGGATCTCAACATGATCCAATCTCTTAGTCTACTATGATTGTTTTATGGAAACTACGCTCAAAAGTACCAAGTATTGCGAACCAAAAATGACTTCTGGGCTAGTGGTCTGGGACATTTTCATACAGAAATTCTATTAATATTACTATTGATTATACGAATGTGTAGTATTTTGTGACTTCTATACGATAGTCGTATGATTTAGGGTTAATGATCGGCAAACGATCTGCATGCAGACTAAAATTGAGCTAACCGAGTATTACGTGACTTTGTATAATGCTAGCCACGGATATGAGGTTTCGTTTATATCCTGATTTATCGTTATGGCCTGATTTTTTATGGCCTGATTTTATTGTAAATGATCAGCTGTCCCACACAAATATAGAATGGCATGATTTCTTGTGCAATTTACGAGGTTGGATAACTATAAAATTGGGAAATTGATTGTGAAAGTTGGGGATAGGGATATATCTGAGTGGGGATACAACTGAGGTATATTTATATGGAATTAGAATAGGGAAATTTGTCCCGCGCCAAAGCTGGGATATAAGTGAGGTTGGGATATAACTAAAAGGGATATAACTGAGGTACTGTATGACTGTATATATTAATATGTTGGTATATATTCAGTAAGAAAGGAGATATAAAGCGATTTTGTCAGTGGATCAAAATTCCGTTCAAATTTGAACGGAAAACAGTCTAAGCGATAGTTCATAGCAAAGACTTCCGTGTTATCAGATGATTGTTATATGTTAGTGCGTATTAGTATAATGTAAAGGCAAGACAATGCCATGTTCGTCTTGCCAGAAAACATTACGACACAAAATTTTACTTGAAACCTTTGATCCGTACGAACTATGTTGCGTAAAACAATAGAAAATCAATTTCCCTGAAATTCTAATGATGAACGATAGAACCAACAACCTACGTTCTTCTATGCCAATTTCTTTGTCTTCAGAACTTCTCATCGAAGATGAATTTGATATAGATACATTTATCCTTTTTTATAATAGCATTTCAAATTAAATGTTGCGTAAAAATTTAGAACAATGGAGAGCCAATATTTCCAATTTCATAAGTGATTTTTTCTTGATCTATTCCTGGAGAGTTTGGATATTGTTGATTTTAAAAATACATGGGGCAATTTTTTCTCCTTGTTCCTTTTTTTAAATGCTTCTAATAGTGCTGTAATTCTTGGGTTTCATAGTGGATTTAATGTAATTAGTTTTATATTAATATTTTTTTGTAATCCTATATTAATATTAATTCTGTTATGGTTTATATTCATCACATTTTGGTATTATAATTAGTAAGTTTAATTAAGTGTAACCCAAGCTTTAATATGGGGCATACCGCAACAAAACCAGACAAAGTTGAGGGACTGATTGTGATGTGGTTGTAAAATTGACCAGTATGACTGAAAGTAATAATGGTGCTCATTCATAGCCTATTATTATTATTATGGACTTGTTAGTTTTAATTTTCACTTTACCATAAAAAAATTTGACCCATTTTGATTTGATGGTTATCGAGAAAATTTTTTTTGAAATTTGTCTACAGAAAATTATGGAAAATTTACTCGTAAAAATCAACGATACTATATCTGGGTTCGCTGGGAAAACGGGTAAAGGGGCGGACGACATTCACAAAGAGTTAGTTATTGCCGAAGGGACTAAAGCACTATTCAAACGTACTATTTACTGCTAGGAAATCAAGCATCAAAGATGGCTTGCTTAGCAAGAAAATCCTAAAATTATATATACATCGTTCTAGACGTCTTGCGAAGCTGTTACATTTTCGAACGTCAATATTTTATAAATAATGACCCCCATATCAGTATTGAGAATGTTCTGGGAGTCATTTCTATCTCAATTGAGAAGTATAAAACTACTTTACTTTATGAAATCTTTGTCAAAAAAGCATGTTTAAATGGAACTCCTCATATGCCTATATCAATATGCTGCGCCCACAAGTCAAAAATTGTCACCAAGTACTTTCAGGAAGAACGAGTCATATTTCTCCCCACTTTACATAGTCCTTGATATGGTATCGTGTAACTCCTTTTTAATTTCTAAAATTAAAAAAGAATTTGGTGGAAAAAGGTTTGAGAGGATTCAAAATGTTCATTTATGTTATAAATTTAATAATAATCAACAGCGTACCACAAGAAGAGTATGCTGAGTGTTTTCAGAGTCAGCGTAAAAGGCTGAGACGTTGTATGGAAGTTAAAGAGAGTATTTTCAAAGAATAAAATAGTTATATTGATGTTTATTATTATTATGTAAATAAAATTTTATACGCCTTTGTGTCAAAACTTTTTGAACTCCTCATGTAGATTACATAGTCATTATACAATGTAACGGTAAAAACCGCCATTCGACAATTGAATTTGTTTGCAGATAACAAGAAACGTGTTGTTAATTACAAACGCGTCCTAATTTTCAATCAACTACTGTGTTAGATATCTCGACTAGACCTGTTGTTCTGTACCTCGCGCCTGTAAAAGTGAAGCTCGATCTGATATCGGATTTTTGGAGCTTATATCGAGTAAACAACAAATAGTTTTAATATGAGTTCATGGTTAAGAGACAAATATCGAATGTTTAAAATATTTGCAGGTGCCCATGTTTCTAGTCAATTTGCCATAATGTTGTTTGTCAAATCTATCTCTACGTACCCTTTTGGTAGTTGGTCGAATTGGAAGAAAAATTTTATTAAACAAGTGTGATATCAATCTGTATGAGTATTTGACGTTTTGTAATAGCGATCACATTCGTGCAGAATTATACGAACGTATTCTGATATTGCAGAAAAACAATTAATAAAAAGGTACTAAATTTAGTTTGAAATTTAGGGATAGAAATTTTTGAATTTTATGACAAAAGCGCGCACGCGTTATGATGTATCCATTTGCTCATTCTACACAAATTGCGAGGTGTCAATTACTTATGTAAGTATATTGCAGACGCAGCTCTTACCTGCTCAAAATATGTATGGCAATAACTGGCATTTGCAAACGGTATTTGGACTATCGACTGGCAATCCAATAGTCTTGTACTTAACCCTTATTGGCACATTGTCAAGAATAATGTTGAAAGCAAATGCAAGAAATTATTGGGCGCAATGTTATGATTTTATTAATAAAAGGAATTTTAATAATAGAATTTAATAATCACGTCACGTTATTATCTATTAGTATAATTGTTGGGGCGCAGTAGTAGTAGCGCTACCCTTGTTATTATTATTTTCCATGTGACTTACCGGCCGAGTTCTTTGATACTAAGACGTCATCTTTGCCAAATTTGCTAACGCAAGGTCCAGAGCTATTGCTTTCACACCTATCCGTAGTGTGCACTATACGACAACAAACTAACGACGAAGATCTGCCCCCTGAAAGAAGTTGTGTTATTTGTTACCGTCATCTGTTTGTTCGCTTCACAAACACTCCTTTAGATCGCCCCTTACGACCCTCACGAGCATTACTCTCATGTTTACAAGACGTCGAAAGAGTAGCTCAGATGCTTCCCTTCTGTCACCAAAACGTATACGTGTTAATGAGGCAAGCGAAGATGGAACATATCCTCCCTGTTTACCTTCTATTCCCTGCACTTTCACACCACTTCCTCTAACTCCGGGACCACAAGACGACAATCTTACAGATCCCGAATATTTATCATACAACACTGACAACACGTTTACAAAATCCGATACCAACGCACCCACAAACCGATCCCATGGAACTGACGTTCCTACCAATAGCACCGATAATAGCAGTAACGAATATTCGTCAGTAGAGGACACTATAGTTCCGGGAGCTTTGCTACTTCAAACCGACTCTGATGGTGGGCTGGAAGATGAAGCAGAGAACGGGGGGGGATTTGTTGATGATGACGAAGAAGACGAATACGAAGATGACGATGAAGTCAGGCAAGACAATAATCGCCCTAACAACATCGGTGATGAGACTTCTCTAGAGGACATAATCGAATTGCATAACGATCAAGTGACGCAACCGGAGGAAGATGGTTATGAAGATGACTATGAAGACGATTATGAGGATGAAGTCGAGGACGGCGACGACGACGACGACGACGACAATGACGATGATGATGATGATGATGAGGATGATGATGAGGATCGACGTATGTAAAAAATTTATTATCAAATGATTTTCTTTTTTTAAAAAAAGCTTTGCTGACTATAATCTCTATCTCTGATAAATACACCAAAAGCTACTCCGCTATTGACCGAAGAGGAATATTTGTCATTGCGCCGGGCTGCCCAGAAAAAAGGTATTTGCTCGATTGTTGTTTTTGGTGAAATTGCGTACTGAAACGGCATTCTCATCGCTCATTTTTGTGCTTTATTCCTAATCTATAACGAACACAAGGAACCGCAAACTTTATCAAAGAATATTTGTTTGATAAGGCGATGCCCATTACGCATCTTTTATATGCCTTTGATGCTCAACCAGTAAGGATTTGTTTATTTGTTAGGTTTCGAGGCTTCCTTCGTATCATGTTATTTACTTTGTTATTCTTATTTAATAGCCCCAAAATCTTGTCAACGCATCCGATATCCAATTAATTCCTATTTTACACAAAGCAGTATCAAAATTTCTTCGACATAGAAAGAAATTGGACCATATCAACACTTTAGAGGATGTCGTAAGATTACTAAAGGAATCCAAGAACATAATGGTTCTCACTGGCGCAGGTGTAAGTGAATTTGTTAAAACTCAGAAAGAGGGATGATACATGTGCTAATTGAATCAACTTGTAGGTTTCGGTATCATGTGGAATTCCTGATTTTCGATCCGAAAATGGTATATATTCAAGATTATCCGAATTCGAGCTAGACGATCCTCAAGACATGTTTGACATTAATTATTTCAAAGAGAGACCCAAAGTATTCTATTCGTTTGCAAAGGTAACAGCTGGTTGTTTGATTAACAGATTTTTGCGTGCTAGTTTTGGCTGTTGATGTAACATATGGCATTACCAATCTTTCGTCAAATACAGAAAATTTATCCTAGTAATTTCAAACCTTCTCCTTCACATTATTTTATAAAATTGCTGGAGGACAAGCAAAAGCTTTTGCGTAATTATACTCAGAACATTGACACTTTGGAACAATCAGCGAACATTAACAACATTCTGCAATGTCACGGTGACTATCTTAACTGTATTTGGTTTTTCTCTTTCGGTCCAACAAGTGGCTTCTTACGACATATTAATGAATTATTTTTTAGGATCGTTTGCACGTGCCACGTGTGTTAAATGTGGATACAAAGTCGATGGTCATATGATTAAAGACGATATCCTTAATTCGCGTGTTCCATATTGTCCTCGCTGTCCACAAAATATGTCTCCTAATCACAACCCAGCTTTAATGAAGCCGGACATTGTATTTTTTGGTGAGAAGCTCCCAGATGAATTCGATCATTTCTTTCCTTTGGATCGGGAGAAAGTTGATTTACTTATTGTAATGGGGAGCAGTCTGAGAGTTGCTCCTGTAAGTGAAATTATGGGACAGATTCCTCATGATGTACCCCAGATCGTAATTAACAAGACCCCGATAGGACATATGGAATTCGATGTACAATTATTGGGCGATTGTGATACAATTGTAGCCGAGTTATGTAGGTTATGCGGATGGGAGCTGAAACATGAGAAGTTGCCTAATGGATCTAGTAACAATTGTACTGATGCCAAGTTTGAGTTTTTAAAACCCTGTTGGTATCTATTTGAGGGTGCACAAGTGTTGCCTGATGAAGATGCATGTAGATATGTGTAAGCAAGATGATGGTAACGGGAGAGATTAATACGACTAGTTCATAGAATATTTGGTCATAGGATATACACATACATACATAGACGCATTAGTTAGCCTTTTATTGTAGATTTTTTTTTGTTTTCTATTTTCTTTTCTTCTACTTATACTGTGTAATTCCATTACTTGGATTCTTCTGTCATACTCCTCATTTGCTAATCATAAATATGCCTCATTTCTACATAGTATTTATATTTGTGTAGCCACATAATACACTGGATGCATTAAATCTCTTCATGTAAAGCTTCTGTATTGACACAATCGAGAACTTGTTCCCGAGTATCTGATTGTTTGTATGATACTAATACTAAATATCGCAGCTTAATTAATTAAACTTAATCATTGATTCATAAATATTGCTGGGAATAGGAATTATTCTATATGTTGTTTGATATTTTTCTCACAGTAGAATGTATTTCTTTATGTTAGACACCTGCCATGAAATCATGTTTGACAGGACGTTTCTCATATAAATTTGATTAACTAAATCCAGTCCTGGTGTGGACCCATTATATTAACAATACTATTATTATTCATTAATTCTGCACAAAACCAAAACTAAGCTATAATTCACCGGATCTATCACTTTCATCGGATACGCTTTCAGATTGCGATTCGCTTGGCGTCGAAGTCCTTGATGACGACCGAGATAATTTCTTTGTCGCCGAGTGCGTCATTGCGTCGTTGGGTGATCTGTTGTGCGAGATTGATGATGAATCTTGATTAGGGACTTCTAAATTCGTCTGTGATTTGTTAGTACTATAAAGTAATAATATATAAAAATGGGAGAAATCGCACGCACAGTAATCACACATTAGAAAGTGATATTCTGAATACTATTGATAAATACCCCAATATTACAGTTATTAACTACGATAACATTACAACTGAGATACTTACGACCCAATAGGTCGTCCTCTCTTCCTCTTCCGTGGTGCATTTCCTGTACCTGATTCATCGCAGACTTCACAATACCAACGGCCTTTCGGCACTCCAGTTAATCCTAGACAACTCAAATGAAACCACTCATACGGACAATTCTCTCCGTCGCATGCTATCATCTCGCCAAAGCTTACTCTGTCGCAGTAACAGTACTTGGGTTCATTCGGATCGACCTGACCATCGGGCTGAACTATACCATTTTTAGACGCAGCGTCATCTGATGTTAGATTCTCTTCTATCACCGGAGAACTTGTCCGCAGGTCAATACGACCAGGTGCAGGTGTCGTTGATGCAGAGGTAACTGAAGATGAATAACGTACCAACGGAATGCGAGGGTTGCGTCGACGTGACTCGAGAGCAGCACGTCGTCTGCCACCACGGTTTTGACGTAATTGATGTTGTGCTGTCGATGACTGAGGTGCTTGAAGAAGAGGAAGTGCTGAATGAATTCAAAAATTAAAAAAAAAAAAAAGAAGCGTAATGTATGAATAATGTAATAAACAAAAGGTTTTAAGTAAACAACCGAACTGTTAACGTATTCAGCTCTCTCTTAAATACATGTTTGAATATTTGCCGATCATACAATCAAATGATGTTTTGAATGACATACCGAAATGACTTTCTTCTGTCTCGGTAGGCAGTTCTTGCAACGGATCAAACATACTAATTCCGAGGTCAGTCTCAAGGTTCTCTTCCGGTGCAATTACAGAATCTTTCAAATGATATTGTGGGAATAGCACCTCAAAGTCCTCATCCATTCTATTAACATGTCTTTCTACCAGTCCAACCATCTTTTCTGCAATCGTCACCTTTTCATCTTGCAATTTTTCTGCTCTTGAATAATCAGCTTTAATCTTTCTAACCAGCTCTTCCTCATTTTCATCGGCAAAGAGCATTCGACGCTTCCTTGGTCTACGATATTCACTATCCGATGAATACTCATTTTCTGATGACGACGATGAAGACAATGAGTCCAGAGGTATACCATCGAGAAGAGCAAACAATCGTCGTTCTCGAGCAGAAATGTTTCGAAGAAGTTCTTTGATTTCGTCTTCTTTCGACTTTAATTCGAATGAATGATGTTTGATTTCGGATGGAAGGTTATCAATTGACGCGAGGAATTCGATGAGATACTCATTCGCATCAATCACTTCGGTCATCGTTCTGTTATAAAAGTTACGTTTGCTTGACCGAGGATTATTTGTATGGTTGACTTTCAAGCTTACACTTGGCAAATCGACGATGACGTAATGCAAATTATGCAATGCAGCCAGGATTCTAGAAAGATCAGCATGATAATCAGATACTTATTAGGCCAGCAAAGGAACATTCCCATTCTTCAATTTTTGCCAAGTTTGCTCTCGCCTGTCTCCCAGTCGGTCTTAATAAATTCGTGCCGACTTGAAGCACACGGTTAAATGAACAAGCATCGGGTCATGAAACGATTGAAAGTCATTCCGTCCCCAAACCATAATAATTATAGTATAACCACACGCCCAATAGACTGGTCTACCCTTTTATAATTAAGTATGGGCGGTATCGGGAAAATTGTGTTACTCTAGTCACCACTTTGCGACGCGACATGGCTTGTTTCCTTGAGGTCGGATTTGATAAACTAGAGGGGAAACACTTTACAGAAAGAGACTAGATTACAGTAATAGAGATTGGCTTAATAAATGCGTTACTTTTTCCTCCTTTAAAATCAGAACCCAATCTTTACAAAGGTTAGATTGCTTTTCTAGATTCTGCGGAAATATTCTTTTAGGCTTAAACGGGATTAATTACTTTTCCTTAATCGATGCATTAGAAAAGCGATGCCATTAAAGTCCCACATTTTTTCTGGTAATTTTTGCTGCGCTCAGAGTCCAATACAAACTAATTGAACGAATGCAGACAAACGAGAGATCAAAGAAAATAATACCCGGGTGGCAGACATTGGGGAAATCACAATTTTTTAGAGTGTATGTTGGGGTATCCTAGCACAGTGCTTGCTTTCGCATTATTTGGTTTACAAGCGCTTTTCTTTTGCCTCGGTAATGATTGTGCAATGCAAATTCACAAAGCTGTAAGAAGAGCTTACGGCACAAGTACGGGCTCGGCATCATTGGATTTTTAAATATGGCGTGTCAATCGTTGACTAGAAAATACGAGCTTGTCATATTGTACAAACGAAAACGATTTATTATTAATTTGCACGAGAGCAATGTTACCCTCAAGTTTTTATATCTTTATAATGTCTACGGTAGCCCTGTCCGCCACATGATGCTTGACTTCATTACTACTGATTTCTTCCTTGTTTGATGGAAGAATAGTCATCTTTGCATATGTTCCTCCAGTCTGTGATTTGGTCAAATGGCCAGGATTCACGCATACAACTTCTTCAACAGTCTAAGGTAAAACAATTGAGTAAATATGTGAGCGTTCTATCCGGACGCATCAAAAGTGTAAGATTCATCTAATAGCAGATACACGTGGTTATAAACTTACTTTTGCAAAGAACTTTAATCGGGAAGGCAAGATCAATACGTCTGGCATTACTTGTAATTCAATCGCATAATGATGTTTGAGATCCAGGTTCACTTCACCACGCGCGGGAGGAAATAGCGGATATAAACTATCGAATGAACAAAGTAAGTACCCGACATGATCCTTATCACCATTCATGTTTCAGGAGCTTTTTTTTTCTTTACGAACCTTCGCTGTTCTAGTATATGATAAGCTAATCGGCCCATTCTATCTCTGTCTGGCTTTGGATCTCTATATTCAAGCAAGAAGATTACAAAGTCACAACTTATGTATAAGAAATTTGGTTGATTCAAACCTTACCTTGGTGCCTCTTCTGCACTCAGATGAAATAACACATCTACGGTGCTTACGGCAAATATCACTTCATTTATTCGAAATTGACATGGATTGGGTAATCTTAAAACTTCCTATTCCATCAAATCGTTATATGTTAACTACTATAATTCCGTTTCTGAAGAGATTTACATGTGTCCATTTACTTGCGGTATCTTCAGCGTTCCTGATCCTTCCAAGGGTGGCTGTGGAAATGCCATATGACTGTGTATTATATCTTTTGCGCTCGGGACCATTATTACGCTAGTGCCTGGGCACGCGTGACAGAATGATTGTAAAGGTGCTGATATGTGCATCACGAATATATCCTCGAGCGTCGAGTCGAGATTACCAGATTTTATCAGCGGATGATCCTGATCTACAAATGGTCCTAACTAGAGTAATATTACAGTTGCATGGTAAGTTAGAGCATATTGTAGGTGTAAGTGATAATTTATTACGTCATATTCACCAGTATTAGCACGTCTGGTTTTTCGGTTTTCATTTTATTTATAAAGTCGAGAAAAGGCTGATACTGAAGATTTGTATTCAATGTATATGGACCAGAGGCAATTACAATCGTCATAGGCTGTCCATTGAGCTTGGTAGGCCCGTAGTTGTATTCCATTAGTTCGGAGGTGAGGCTTGTTGACATAGGCAATAACGGATTCTGATGAAACGCAAAATACAATTAGTACAATGTTTAACTAAAATAGCGAGTCGACGCGTCAGAAATTATTTGTGGTAACAATCATGACCTCATATATATTGGTAACATTCAATGCTCGTCCGGTGCTGTTTATACCTTCGACCGCAACAACCTAATGGGACGCATACCAATATCGGTGAGTAATTATGTACTCTTGCATGAATTACTGATGACTGTATATAAACAATCCCTACCCGACCAGGAAATAAGGCGAAAGAAGGGACCTCATCTAAATTTAAGCTCACTCTGCATCCGGCCCCTAGACTACGCGAAGTCTCTAATACTACAGATTGACTGTTGAGCTTTCCTTCTGTGTCGCAGCAAATACGTCCAATCGTTTTAATCGCTTCCTATTCCATATCATAAATGCGGGCATGAACTTAATAAGAGAGTCAACCCATATAGAACTTCATGCGCACAGACTTGTTGGGAACCTGGGTTGGTCTTAATGGATCAAATAACTCTTCAATATTATAATGATCTTTTACACGACCCGAGAACAGTTCAATTCTATCGTCAAGGACTGAAGTATATTCAAGGAGATTTAGTAGAAGCCATCGAGTCATCAAAACTTGGTTACAGAAGCAGTACCTTTGTACTTTTCGTCGATCTTCTGGAACATATAACGATAGTTTTCCGTAAGCTGGTGATCCAACAGCCTGACTAAACATCGCTTTGATACGGATGACGGTGCCGAGGGTTGTTTACTGAATAGATCGATGGGAAAATAGATTAAGAAATAATACTCAAATAGACGCGTTAGATTCTGTCTTTTGTTCATAAGGATACAACTCAGTAGGATGAACAAAGTTGTCTTTTAATTTAAGCCCGGTTCCTGTTGGCTTTTGAAACATGATTATGTTGTTTGTGGACTGCAATAATGGGATGTCACGTAAGTTGACGCGTTTTAGCGTTTAGGGACCGTGTTGATCTCGCATACTGATCACGGTAACACAACTTAACGTTACACTTTAACTTTTTAACTTCGTAAGGGGGTGTATATTCGCGTCATTAGAATTGTGTAACAGAAGTTGGAGAATTTTCCAACGCCAATCCGAACGCTTTTTTATACACAGTGAAGTCCGTTTTAACAAAGAGCTCCGTTCCGCCGAAAAACTTCGTTAATGCGGACTATTCGTTAAAGTGGACCTTTAACTATATAACGAACTTTCATATATATTACGTGATATTCGTTAAAGTGGGATTTATTCGTTTACTTCTGTGCTGTACCGTACATTTCATCCTACCCATTCTGTTTCTCTATTGAATTTTGAAGTTAATAAAATCCTCTAAACATGCCCGTTTTTTTGCTGCAATACTTTCTTCAACAATTTGTTTACGCAGTTGCTTTAGCTGACTATATACTTGAATGTCGACACTTAAATCTTGCTGCTGACAAAATAATCAAGAGGCGTTACAGCTTGAACAAAGGAAACTTTTCTTTCTTCCTTAATCTTTTCTTCCTCTCCTTCCTGTTCAACTTCCTCTTCTCTAACTGCTGCTACTATTGACTTTAAAAACGTCTCCTCTTGCTCGTCATCATTATAATCAATATTCCCTATTGCTACTTCCTCAAAATCAACAAACTCACACGAACTTCAGTTAAATTTTCACTTTCAAAGGGATGTTGTTCAATCAAATCTCTGATATTTGATTCTAAGTCAGTCTCTACTACCACGTACTCTGCTGAAACATGATTAAATGTTGTAGGCAAGATTTGTGAGCGCCTCCACGATGACTTAATAACACTTACAGTCACTCGATTCCATGCTGCTGTAGCAAAATTAATTGCATCTAGAATTGTTAGGGGTGGCAAAGCGTATAATGGTTTTGAGATAGAACTTGATGCTCCACCTGGTGAATTAAGACTGCTTCTGAGTACGTCATATTCTTCGATACGGTTCTCACATAGGATTGATCGGTAGTGTGCTAAAGAAAATTAATGTTGCATCCTCTAGTTACTTTTACATTATTGACTAAACATAAAATTACATACCTTTAAGCTGTATATTATTCCTTGATCTAATGGCTGTAGTGCTGAAGTGGCGTTAGGCGGTAAGAAATAAACTCGAACATTTGTCAATCTAGTTATTACTTCTTCAGTCTTGCGGGAAGCGGCATTATCAGCTAACAGTATAATTTTTCGATTCTCTTTTCTCATCATACTATCCAAGCGACTGAGGTAATGAGAGAAAACCGATTGCACCATTCAAGCTTTTGCATTCCAGTAATACCAGACGGGTAAACTTGATTTCGCAATTCCTTTAAGAGCTCGTTGTGTCTGATTTTTATGGATAGTAAAAGGCAGTTTTTCGGTGCCTGTTGCATTAGAAGTCACCATTATCGTTATTCTATCCTTGGGAGGGTTTTTTCCCTGATATAGGATTATGTGCAAGTGTATGGGACGGTTCGAGTTCCCAGAATAACGCCGTTTCATCACAATTAAAAATATTATTTGGATCATATTCTTGGAGAACATTCTGTAATTCTTCACGATGTTTCAGAAGATCTTGGAAATCAACACTGTCCAACTCCCCCTCTCTTCTATAAACTCGCAAGTCGTTTCGTTGCTTGAAACGGCGAAGCCATCTATTTGATGCTGAAAATTTTTTCGCTAATTTTTTTGCTTTTTTCTGTAGAATAGACCCAGTGAAAGTAATACCATCTAAATCGCTTGCTCGCACCACATCGCAACACTTTCTTCTATGATAGGAAATTTACTTTTCCGTTCGCGCTTTGCATTTGCTTGAATTGATTCAACTGCTAACCACCTATCTTTCGACTTGAGAATTTCACTACCCGTTGACTCTCCAATTTTATACTCAGCTGCAATTCCAACATTTTTCAAATGCGGGGTTTCATCTTTTTTTTGACATATTTCCTTCATCATGACAATTGTAAGGTTTGTACGTGGTTTCTTTGATCCAGAACAATATTTGTCTGGACGTTTTTTGGAAGAAGATTCTATATCTAACAATGATGAGGCTTGTTCCTCACAATCACTTACAACCTGAATGGGCGAAGAATTTGACATCTTTATTACAAGCAGTGGTGTTGTTCGATTCTCTATATACAGTAATAATGCTATAACTATCGCGAGGAACAGTAATAATGCTATAACGAACTTTGTTATAATATATCGGACTTCGCTATTGCAGCAAAATTTCGGTATATTATACTAATTTAGGCGATCTTCGTTAAGTTGAATGGTTTATCTTTATAGTGGGTTTGAAATTTCTTCGCTATATCGTTATACAGATTTTAATTATAAATCTTCGTTAAACCGGGAGCTAAACATATACAAATGAATCGGTTCCTGAAAAAGCTTCGTTATAAGGCCACTTCGTTAAAACGGACCTTCGTTAAAGCGGACTTCACTGTGTACATACACAAGAATGACAGTGGAAAGGGTACTCCTAATTCGTTCTTCGAAACTATCGTGCTGCTACACACCGTGCTCATTCCAACGAAGAATCGCAGAGATCTATGACAGGTATAATTACTTTATGTCTCTTCTCATAGTGTATTGTTCACACAAAAAAACGCACCAAAGCAGATCTCTCGCATTCCATTGGTCAAATATTTGTATGGCAGCCAATAAAACTCTCACGAGGCTGTGTGACTTGACACGAGGTTATAAGTTTCCATTTCGCCTGTTATCATATTTATTTATTGTCGGAGTTCGTCACAACCAGTCAACAACCATTTTTGGGAAATTAAGGATCCAAAATGTCTACTTTTAAAAATGTCGTTATTTATAATTGTACTGAAACAATTACTCCCAATTTCGCGTTTGCAGAAATATGGCCCTAAGAATATTATCTTGTTTCGTCTTAGGTGATGATGATTATTTTCCGGTTGATATTGGCAACCAAACTTTCGTCAATAATGTTGCTATCTCTTTTGACGATTTCACCGTTGGACATCTCAAGAAGCTCATCTGGGAACAGAAAAAAGATGACCTTGTTGACTTTGGAAAATTGAATCTTTGGAAGGTTGAGATTCCTACTGACAAACCAAAAATACTAGAAGTACTCAAGTCTCTTACTGAGCTTGACATTAAACGAGAATACGGAGGTGTGAAACTATCGACTCCGGATGACGATATTAAGGACCATTTCCCCAGTCAACCTCCAAAAAGACACATCCATATTATTGTACAACCCCTCGCCACCACCGGTAAGTGTCTCCCAATATTTTACCGCGTAAATAAGGAAATTTGCAGTTATCTCATTTTTTGGGGTCGGAAGTGTCAGAAAAAAGACTTTAACAAAATTTTTTTATCCGTCTGCTGTAGGGCTTAACAGGAACGATCCTTCTTCTATCTATACATGGATACAAACACTTCATTGAACCGCGGCCGAAACCGAGTATGTCCGTCCAGCTTTGTCATGTTTTCAATTATGTGTTTCTTCATTGGGCTAAAATCAAATTGACCTCTCCAGCTCGTTAGAACATTCGGCCAGGACTTTGACCTTTTTCAGCGAGATGACACTATTGATATGCTCTGGAATGGGGATCAGTCGACAGGGCGAAATGGGGTCATGGGCCGATTTAAAGTGCACAATAAAAGTGACAAAACCCTCCATCCAATCCTCGTTTTAGCTGGCGGTTCTGGAACTGGAAAGAGCAGATTTCTCGATGAGATTGAAAACTTGCTCAAGGAATGCGCTGAGAAATGTAACGATGAAGAAATCCGTAATGCTTTTGCCAACATGATCGTCATCAACACAACGTATGGGAATGGATCCACTGCTGACAATATAGATCAACGGATTGGGCCTCAGGCATCTCTTGCAATACGTATTCTGTTTGAGTACTTCCGACCTCAACATAACTTTAGTGAATTTGATTTTCCTAGCTTCCGCGCATACTGCAATCAATCAGACATTTCAGATTTTGCCCTGAACATTGCTCTTCGAGTTATCTACATTGACAAGATGGAAGCGAAACAAGCAACAATCTCTCATCCTCTATTAGTTGTGGTAGTTGGAATTGATGAGTTCAACAAACTGCATGATATAGACAAACAAACCTCAAAGAGCCTCATAAATACCATTGGAAGCTCGATGTGTAGAGCACCTGCAGACATTTTTTTCATTCCCATCCTGGCTGGAACAATTGAAGGACCTATAGAAGAATATATCACAGGTTCTATGCATCAACCACTTCACCTCCCACTACACCTCCTTGAAGAGCATCATGCAATAAAGATTGGCAAGGCTATGAATCTATTCAATGATGATTATGTCACTTATAGTCTTTATTTTCAACATAGTATCAGTGACCATGGAGGTCATGTGAAAGCTTTGGAGTATTTCTATGATTTTTTTTCACAAGAATTAAGAAAATGTCAAGATCCTGATAAAGTGAAAATTGAGAAAGTCATGGAACGGGTCAAAGACTCTATCCAAGAAAAGTATTGCTTTGATTCATTCTCAAATTTGACAGAACCTCTCATAAAAGCTATATTGGGCCTGCCAGTTAACAAACATGATAAGACCACACTTGATGATGAATCAAAAATAAGCTACCAAAAACTCAGTTCAAGGGGGATTGTGAATTTGATAAAAAAGGATACAAGTTCCAAATACTATTTGCAGTTACTTTATTATTATGTGTGGGTTAGTGCACTTGTTGAAGTTCAAGCATCCAAACATCCTGGGATGAAGTATTGGAAAGTCATGCTTAACTATGATGAGCCAATGTATTGGCAGAACTTTGAGGATTTCAATGCCAAATTCTGGGTGTTACAGCTCAATCTCTTCAAATTATTAGGACATAGGACAATATTGTTTTTAAAGGTGCAAAATTTTCCAGTGAATTTCCAGATGTTGAAGTTGTCCTTCCTGAAGATATCAAATTGTATAAATTGCAACAACATAAACAGTATCCAGGTATAGTATTGGTATTATGCCTTACAGATTTTGTGATATTAATATAAAACGCACATAATATAAATAATAAGAACTCACAAACACTGCTCTGTTATAATTTCAGTTACCCCAACTAACCAGAATAAAGAAGTGAAATATGATGGCAATATGGAAGTGACACATGGCTATATCACATTCGATTATTTGAAGAATGATTATATCAAGAAATATATGGGTCATATCTTCTTAAATGCACCTGGGGCAGACCCTTTGATGTCTTTGGATTTCTTAATATGATAGATGAAGAAAATGATGGAATCTTATGCATGACTCAGCAAGAAAAGTTAAATCGCTTAAACCAATGATTATTGGCCAAAACTTATTCAATAATGAGCATGAAAAGGTATAAATCTATTTTATCCATATTAATATTAAGTTTACATATTAATATTGTATTATTTAATTGTTGGTTTATATGTAAGGTTACCAAAGCTATGAAGGATATTCCAGTGGAAAATTGGGCTCTACTATTTCTAACAAATGCAGATTCTGAAGATGGCCTGATTATAGAGAGCAAAAAAAACAATGCATTGATATCTAGGAAACAATTTCAAAAATTCTATGGATACACATGCCAGCAGAGCACAATTTGCATCTGGTATGTTTCTTAATTGAAGTACCCTTTTTTGCAGCAACTGGCTAATATTAATATGTGTTCTCTTTTCTTTGTATAGCAAATGACATGATATATATAATAATAAATTCAATGTCTGCAGAGTCACTTAAAATCATTGGCCTCAATGAGGATGAGAGTAATATTGTTTACAAGAAACATAAAGAAAGTCCCCTCTGCAGTTGGGATGATTTAAAGGATATGATTAGTGATGAGAAACTTAAAAGGTTAATATTAAAGCTTGATAATAGTATTAGGTTTATGCAAGATTTATAGCTAAAACTAAAAAATTATTGGAGTAGTGGGCATGTAAAGGGGGGAAATATCTCAAGCCCTAACCCATAATAATAAATAAGAGTTTTTTCCTGTTACTCCATACTGTATATAAAAATATGTTCCCTTTACCTATACCTCTTATTTTGATAACCATGAATTTCTTCTTGAACTATACACGAGATAGCGAACAACTTTTGCTAAACATCGGTCAATTGCCAATACCATGATGGAAACAGCATTTCTCAATCATATTCTATTCGGCTCGGAAAGCATGTATTAGTATTCCTAACTGTGGCACAGGAGGGTTTTGTTGAATAAATGGCTCTAGCAAATTTTATGCAAGTCGTGTAATTGTGAATGGTTTCATCCTTGCGAGTCGGAGTGCGGTTTTAGCTTAGAATCGCTGGTAGCTCCTTTGAACTACATTTTATTTTAGCCGGAACAGTTATTTGTCGCTCAATTATTATGTTATTTTTATTGACTACAACTGTTTGTATTGGTAATAAACTTCGCATTACATAAACGGTCGAATAAAATAAAACAATTCGAATTTCACCTAGCTGATGCGAGCAATCATATGAAACTTTTTTTAAACCCGAAGCAAAACGATGGTAGAGGAAAGAACAATCTCTAACTATTACACAATGGTGGATGTGCAGAGCGCAGCAGTCATATGATGGAGGAAAAGAACAATCTGTCTATTACACAATGGTGGATGTGCAAAGCGCAGCAATCATATACACAATGGTTGATGTGATTATTATTAATGAGTAACTCCGGTCTCAATGGTGTATACACAATTTTCCGAATTCATGAACTTGGGTTTCGAACAAAAATGGATATAATGACATTGTAACTTTGCAAGATCGATGCAATGGAGTGCGAGTATATTAATTACTATGACACAGTGCGCCTTTCCCAAATCCCGTCTCTTTGCCTTCAAGTTCTCCCTTCGCAGCACATTATTCGTCTGTTGTCTGACCTTATCGTTACAGATTTCACAAGCTATGGCCCTGCAAAAGAACTTTAATCCGCGGCATGACTATTAATGGGAACGATTGTGGCGTTTAGCAATTAAAAACAACTTACCAACCAACTGGTCGGATATCGTGTCAAAATGACACGATTTTTGTTAATCCGGAATAAGTATTCAATTGCGCAGCATGAATATCAATGCTGGACTACGTAACCAGGAATGATGTCACCGCTTGTATACGCCTACATTCTTTTCCTTATTAGGACACTTACGACGCTCATCCTTTATCACCAACGATTCAGTGCTGCCTTTACTCGCAAGGGTTGGGAAACTAATTCTTCAAATCCAATACAAATCCATCCTATCAAAACGCGCATAAAGTATCCTAGTTCAAGAAACCCCCGTTCTTTCTACATACGATATTAACACCAGTCTGCTCGATCAGTCATAATAATAATGAAGATAAAGAAAACCCCAAAGAAGTTGGTGGCACCTGTAAGTATAAAAACCCACACACGCTCACGCTCTTTCTCATCATGCTGTTGCAGACTATACGTGACATTCTCGACGATCTACATAATACAACGGTCGAGGTCTAGTAATCACTTGTCGGTGGTGTCATTCACTTGTCACTTTGCAAAATTTTATCGTGCTGCGCCACATGAAACGATCGTTTGAAGCTTGCTTTACAATCGATGATGTTAACTTAAGTATTTACCGGTATTTCGATCTTTCTCTTTGCGATCAACTTTTAGGCTCCATCCGTTAAAAAACTTATTCAGAAACTCACAGACTGTCAAGAAGATGAACTACCATCAGTAGTTGCTTCGGTTCCAGAGTGGACCTTCCCGCGGGGAGATCTTTTTCATTGGATCGGCGTACTGAATCGCTTTGATACAATTCTCGAGGACATTTGTAACAATTGTAATCTAAAGAAAATACAAACGAAAGAATTTACCCCAACCACGAAGAATAAACTTTTGGCTGTTTTAAAGTTCTCACGACTCTTATGGGAAAATTGCACAAACAGAAATTTATACAGTTCATATGAAGTACGGTTTGATCAAAAAATTGTTCTTGGCGTGCAATGTTACGTTGTTAAAGTATTGGGCGATATGTACGAACTAAATCTTTGTTTCATTCTTGCAGCATCTTAATGATCTTTTAAATACCATGGATCTCGACGTTTTAGAAAGTCTCCTTCGATTAGTGCTTCGCCCAGCGCAAAGACTAAGTAATCAACGAGCCCTTCGAACTAGCTTTACGATCTCCCAGGATCGCATCCTATTCCTCACCCATAGCTGGGGCACTAAAGAATATGACCTTGATTTGAAAGATCTTACTTATGACAACATAGCTATTCCGGAGGAATTGACTATTCTCACTTATCAGTTCTATCGCCACTTAACGCCAACTGAGGCTGCTGGAACAGCTGTTGATAAAAAACACGATACTGCATTACCTTCTCCTGTTAAACCAAAAAGAAAAGATAGTGCATCTAATGGAGGAGCTACGAAAATCAGTGAAGGTGTTACGTTGATTACTATAAATAATCTTAATGAGTTGGGCGCAACAGATATAAACATTTTGGAGCATGTAATTGAAGAACATTCTGTACCTGAAGAATTTCATTATGATCTGTTGAATCGGATTCGGATTGCGACCAAGATCACGGACGCTGAGAAAAGGCGCCAGATGTTAACGATAAGAGTTCTTGCAATCGCTATTATGGGTATGTTAGGTGATGATCATATTATTTTTCTTGTCAAGACGCTTGGATTATATATACATATTAAATGCATATTTGGCGCGACGAATACTTATGCGAATTTCACATTAAGCTCATGTGACACAAGAACCTGTCGCTTCCGCCAAGGTTTTCCTATACGAACCTGATCTTGTGGCAAGCCTAGCCGACTTGATACATCCCGAACGACATGTACCCTTAGTATGTATTTGAGACTTAAGTTATTTGAGACCGTTTTATAATTGCAGGCGTCTCATATTATAGGCGACATCAACGTTTACGTTATTTTTTTATTTACTAGGAAATTCAAACCGTAGCCTTATACGCTTTGGAAGGCATCAGTCGCTATCGTCCTAGACTGGGTGAAGTTTTATCTGCAATCAATGCACAAGTTAATCATGGCATTCTACTGTATGTCCTTCGCAGAGTGATTGCGGACTTGGAAAATGAACATTGTAAGTGTAAAAAATGAATCGTGTATCATTCAATTAGAATTTACAAGTGACCACGATGTTATTATAACGTTATTTAGCAACTTACTCGCAAGAGTACTTGGATGCACTATTTGCCTTGATATCGCACATTATTTCGACACAAACAGGAGGAACAATGGTTATAGCAGCTGGAATTGTGCCGACTCTGTTACAATTACTGCTAAATAAGAACCCATCTCAGACAAAAGTGAGAATCATGTTCTGAATATTTTATCGTGTGTTGATTGTTGTGTTCTGAGCATATTTCTCAATTACTTCTTTAGAACGTCACCAAGGCTGTTATTCTATTGGATAGTCTAGTTTATGGCTTTAACCCATCGTTCACCAATTTTTGCAACGCCAACGGAGTGAACATACTTGTAAACAGAATCAAGGTCAGCTATGATATGTTCTCTATACGAGCTGTTTGACTTGTTCCTAACACCAACGATTTTATCAATCTTATCATCAGGATGAAACCAATAATAGTCTAAATTTAGCGCGGATCGCTCGTGGCGATCAAATGGAAGATGTCAAAATAGCAAATGTTTCCGCGTCGACGCCCGTTTCTGCAAAAGGTATCCTGTCTATCTACGTATATGGAACGTTCTTGTCGATAACTGTTTGTTCATTAACCATAACGGGTATATTTATACCTAGATGAGGACTTTGTATTGCCCTACGACCTATCATCTTTGCTTAAATCAATGCTTAAATTTGTATTGCATATGATGCAGACATCAGGCACTGCTGACGGATTGCGCAATCTTATTGAAACATCTTTGCCAGAATCGATCAACAGTATACTTGGTCAGCCGAACGTGTTTGGTAGTAGTATTTATGCTCTAGGTAAGAGACGCGGCTTTATAATCTAATTCACGTAATGTGTATGGTTATTACGTGAATACTTACGATTACTTGCTATATCGTCTACAGCTATTCAACTTATGGCAACCTTCATACACAATGAGCCGACATCATTGCCGATAATACAGGAAGCCAAATTGCCGCAGACATTTTTAAAATCAATATGTAGTGATATACCTGTGTCTGTCGATGTACGTATATTGATAGATAATTCATTTACTGTTTAACGCATGTAACGAAAATGATCATGAGTTCATTTCATTACTTAGGTTATTCAACACATCC